TGTAATTGCGGATCTTAAAACTAGGTGTCGCATGGCTAGATTTGGCTTTGCTTTGCGCCACCTAGTTTTCAGATCCTCAGTTACTAAAATGATGATGTACTAAAAAAAATCCATTCAATTTAACAGATATCAAAATGTCAATACCCATTTCACCTGCTCGCCAATGCATGAATTTGCCCAGGGAAGTCGAGAAAATTTCCAATTCGAAAATTTCCAATCCGAAAATTCCCTCGACCGGACCGGGAATCGAATACGCCGCCTCCAGCTTGGTAATAACATACCCATACGTATTGTTGCGGTGCTGCACGTCCGAGCGTAGTTGGAATATATACCCTATTCAAATTAAACATCAGCTAGCGAATAAACTTCGAAGTGAAGCTTTTAGTCACATGAAGGTGTCACTTGTGATAGAATAAACATAGATATACATATAAACATGAAGATAGAATAAACATAGGTCAAAATCAAGTTTATTTTTTTTATTTTTTACTTGATTTGTTTTCCGTGTTGAGCACCAATGCTACCGACGCCAGGGAGGCAGCTGCCACACCTGGACCCTACCTATCGACCCCATTCCGAAAGAAGGCGTGATCAGAGATGTTAGGCCTCAGAACATTCCGGCGGCGCAAACTGGGATTGAACCCAGGCCTGCTGGGGTGAGAGGCAATCACGCTTACCACTACACCACCGGCGCCGCTAAATCAAAAATACTTGAACTAACTGAGTAACTTAATATTGCTAATTGAACTGCATTAAATCCGAGTGGTGTGATTATAATTTTTATTTTATTTATATTAATATTTATTGATGATGTTTTTCCTTTTTTAAATAACTTTTTAAACATTTACGGAAAATAACACCACTGCGTTCTAGCAACTTGTTTCGCGCTCCGTTAATTTGCAAGTTCCTATTCGCTATTCTCTTGACGTAAATTACCAGTTTTTTTTTTCTCGCTTAAACGCTGTACAGACTGGAGAGTTATAACATGTTATAACGGTTGTCAAATAATTGCAACACAAAAACTAACATCAAGATAGCGCTATAACATGTTATAACTCTGTAGTCTGAACGTACTATTAGTGATTCCTGGTATAATTCCCGGTAAATTAATGAAAAAGTGAGTTTTTTTTCTGAGAAGAAAGTGTGTTTTCGGCATCATCGGAAGGAAAACTATGTTTGCGATTGGCAATTCGCTAACTATTTTGCGCACCATCGGTGCGTGGCCACGCATACCTGCACACGGATCATCATCATCGAGTGTCAGCATCTGCTTCCGCATTTAATCCGCTCATCCATCATCCATGTTCAGCTGAGTGCCGAGCCTGATACAAGCACACACCAACGAAGACCGCCTGCACACGCGGACTGATGATCATCCACGCTGCGCGTCGCTCTGGTGTTGCTGTGTAAACACTCGGTGGTAGTAGTATTGATGAATCTACGTTACGGTCGGCCAGCAGATGGAAATGATGTGAAAATGATAATGACGTTTTGCTAGCTGTCAAATCGTATGGAATATTTTTTAGTACATCATCACTTTTGTGGTTTTGGATTTCAAACCTAGGTGTCGCATGCACTGGTGCAGTTTCGCGTAGATTCATCAATAGGATTATTGATGAATCTACGCGAAACTGCACCAGTGCATGCGACACCTAGGTTTGAAATCCAAAACCACAAAAGTGATGATGTACTAAAAAATATTCCATACGATTTGACAGCTAGCAAAACGTCATTATCATTTTTACATCATTTCCATCTGCTGGCCGACCGTAACGTAGATTCATCAATAGGATTATAGTATAATACACTAATTTAAAATTTAAATTTGTGAAGTTTTGTTTTTGTTTTTGTCTTCATGCGTAGTTTTAAATTTATGGTTTTATTTAGGGGAAAGTGAGGGCAATGGTGGTCACTACTTTTCTCTAGAGCAAATATTCGAAAAATGTTAGACTAGCTCAAAATGTCAAAACTTTTTTTTTCTTCCTTGATTTGTTTTCCGTGCTGAGCACCAATGCTACCGACGCCAGGGAGGCAGCTCCCACACTTGGACCCTACCTATCGACCCATCAACTCATGATCCGAGGACCAATGGCTTTACTTCCCGGCGTAATCAGAGATGTTATGCCTCAGAACATCCTGGCGGTGCCGACTGGTATTGAACCCAGGCCTGCTGGGGTGAGGTAAATGGTCATTGGTTTCTTATATGACACGATGTTTTTTTTTCTAGATTTTAATAAACATTAAAGATTTCCTTAACAAAATATTACTTAAGTCCATTTGGGGCAATATGAGCACCACTGATATTTCATCTTAAATTCTTCAATTTTGCATTATTCCTTTCATAAATAAGACAGTATCATATGAAATCACGTTTTTTTAAATAGCTTATTTGGTAAAAAATCAGTCCTTCACAAAACTGAAAAAAATATAGCCTTAAATAGGCAGTACTTCTGAAATTTAATTTATTCTACAGAAAATAATTGTTTCTGTTCAATACTTTTATGCTACAACCACAGACAAACAGACATAACACTCGCAAGTAGATCATCGAACTAGCATTTAACGGTCAATTTAAAAGTATCGTAGTTGGTAGTGAGAAATATTCAATGTGTTATGTCTGTTTGTCTGTGCTACAACTGTTCATTGTTGACCCTTCATAAAGCCTCAAGAGAACACCTGTTATTTTCAAGGTTGCTCATAGACAGGGTGCTTATTTCCCCCCAACGGTTTAATTTCGGTTACAAAACGAACATATTGTAAATTTTCATTCATAAAATTCAAACGTTTACTTTTAATATTCAATTTGTGTTCATGGTGTAAATAGAGCTTAAAACTATCCATTTGGTTAAACATCATTCTAATTTTCCACTAAATTTTGTATGATTAGTGATGATTTTCGGGTGGCCAACTGCCCCACTTTCCCCTATTTGTTTTGTTTTTCCTCGTAAGCATAGTTTTGTTCTTTTACGTGTATTTAGGACTTTATTGCTTTATTTATTGCTATTATTTTATATTCAAGAAGGTTTCAAAATTATTATATTTTTACAGGTACGCAGTTTTTAGAATTTACATTATTTATGTGTCACGGTTTTTACGTTGTTTTATGTGATTTTCTCAGTTGCTATCCATCTCTCGAACCGATCACCAGACACTACATTCGAGATTCTTTGGTGCGGCGTGCGAGCGTGTGCTTTTTACTATACTATGAAAGTGTTACGAGAAAACTGTGTCGTATTAGACACATCGATCCTTCCCAAGTGACAGTGTATTTCGGTCATAAAAACATTCTTGGACAATGAGCTGCAGCTCGATATGTCGTTTGTGACAAGGATCCAGCCTCACAACGTAAAGAACGTTGTGTACCTGGGTATGCGAGACAAGGACGCGGCCGACAACATTGCTTCAGCCCATCATTTTAAGCATTGTATTGAAAGTGAGGGGAAAAAGTTTCCATTACCCATCTACGTCGAGAGCAGTGCTGTTGACGTACGGATTCACGATCTCCCGTCGGATATGCATAATGTGGTTATCGTTGACCATATGCGCCAGTATGGTGAGATAATTGCAATCAGAAGTGAAGTTTGGAAAAGCTACTTTCCAGGCTTCAATAATGGAGTTCGCGTCGTAAGGATGAAGCTTAATCATCCGATTCCCTCTTACATTACTGTGGACGACGAAGTGACTTTGGTGTCATACAAAAACCAAGTCAAAACTTGCCGTAACTTTGACGGAAAATCTCACCCGAAACAACGTTGCTCCGAAGTGGCAACAGTGGTAGCAGCAGCAAAAAAACAGGATTCTCAATCGGAGATGGGGAAAAATGACCCAGCAGCGATAAAAATCACAGCAACAGTAACATCAACAACAACACGAAGACCAACGGCAATAGCAAGCTTGCGGACGCAGCTAAAGATAAGCAGTGGCCTTCTCTTCCTAAACCGGCAACTGATGCAGATCTACACATAAACAATAGAGCAGTGATGAACAAGCGACAAAGGACCGTTGAATCGGAAACAACAATCAACCATACGAAAAAAGTTAACAAGAACGAATCAACTTCCAGTGACAGTGATTGCAGCCTGACCACCGTGAGTTATATTTGTCCCTACGACCATATAAGATCCCGTCGTTTGAGTGGATTGAAGATGAACAGCAGAAACGTGCTTTGATCGAGGATTACAAGCAGAAAGTGGATGCTTTGTACCTAGCGCAGCAAAATGAACGAGACAAAAATATTTGAATTGTTTTTTTATGATGCTTGGCTGCGTTGAGTCTTTCTAGACATAAGAGTCTTACAAATAAACAGATTAAAAAAAAATGTGAACTTGTGTTGCGCCTTTTTTAACATTCTTGCAAATCATACTAGGAAGCCATAATTCATATTATGCTATCCCTAATATTCAATACAATTTACTCAAAATCGGTTAAAATGCTTCTTCTGCCAAAGTACAAAGTTTTTGCAATTGTTTGCACAACTTTCACAGAAACAATAAAAGTTATAATTAGTAAAATAGTAAGAGTTATAGTTATCGACGTGGAGTCTAATTTATTTTTAGTTTTTGGAAGATGTGCCCAAGGCTGAAAATCTCTCTAATAAAGCAAAAAAAAAAAGTTTTTGGAAGAGGATACTAAGTAGCCCACACATGATTGATGAATGACGATATGAAAGTGAGACATGACAAACATACGAAAAAGGTGCCCATTCAGTACATGGGCGTATTACCAATTACAACGGGTACCTATAAGGGACACGAAGTATTTGGCTAATGACGTGTAGGATATCAAGTCTCCGTACGTACCAAATCTAATTCTAGAACGATATTAACCCTTTCATCTAAAAGTTTTCGAATATGAGGAAAATCGAGAGAGATGTCACTCAGTCTATTAGTATACTCCTAGAATGAGTAAAATTTTCGTAATTTTTTCTCATATTTGAGTAGTTAGTTCTAGTTAGGGTTTGCTAGCCAAATAAAAATGTGTCCAATTTTTTTCTTTTTCAGCTCGTTTCCAGTGGTTATGATAATAATATGCTATGGGGATCATACCGCCCAGGTGTTTATTTTGGATTGAAAACGAGAGAGGAACATCCAGTTCTTAATGGATTAATGTGGTACTTCCCTAGTACGCTTAGATCACTGTCAGATATTAGGTAAGTGTTTTGTTTATAATAGATCAGTTTATTTGAATACATACCTAGTCCTGATAGAGAATGGGTTCTATAATCATTTAATCATATACAGTTTTGGGACGAGCTTCTACCAGAGATTTAAAAGAAATGAGGTATCAATTGTAGAGAAATATAGCATTATCTCCACCAGCTTTTGTATAATTTACTTTATGTGAGGGATGAGCCGTACTCAAGAGTTTTGTAGTTGGCGAACTCTTATTTTAGTGCAATTAGTCCGCTTTAACAAAACAATTCGTAGATTTGTGTTTTATGTTTTTATTAAGAGTTTTCCAATAAATCATTACACTCCCTCTATTTGACATTGACGATATTATACGAGCTCACGCCAGCTCTCGACTTGAGAGCTTTTTGTGCTATACCCAGTAGAGGCGCGAGGACTGGGTGGGACATGTCCTACGCACAAAAATACCTGGGTGGGACAGTCAAAGCTTTGTCCTACCCACGATTTTTTAGAGAACATATTTAAAAACCTGAATTAATCCTCCAATGATAAAAATCTGACCATGCTTATTATTAAAAATTCCGACTAAAGTGCTCATACGATTAGAAAAGATTGATGAATTTTGGCCAGCAGTAGCTAAAAACTGGGGTCGGAAACCCCAAGCCGTCCCAAACCTCACGAAGCCCAACACCATAATACGAAATTATATGCTCAACAACTCTGTCGAAACTCACTCCAAAGGGCCTGGGTACTCTTGAAATTTACTAATTGTCAGTGTCCAATCTTGAGAATATTTTTAACGAAAAGCGCGTTTTTATTAGTTAGGTAGGTTCCGATTCAACACATTGTAGTTTCATTTTTATACCTGTGATCTTGACTTTTTTACCTAGGGCTGAGTACTTAAGGGGGTTAGATTTTGATAAGTTCTTTAGTGGGAATGACACTGATGAAGACTGCACATTGTAGTCGAAATATGTATCTGTCATGGATACCAAAATTAATTAAGTGGAACTAAATGGAAGATAACCTTTTTTGCTGTTTTATGTTTCTGGTTAATTGACTAGGTTTTGTGGCATTCGGCCATTGCGTGAATCTGTATGTACTACTTCAATACTGTTACGCATTTGACCACAAACGTTTGGTTGTGGGTACATTATCAAAGAGCTTTGGGGGTGATGTGGCTGGCAGCATGGTGAGCGAACGTTCAATCAAAATTAACTCTTGGTCCAAAAAACCGTTTTGTTGTGATGGCTGAGCTATTAGGGTGTTCAACACAGGTGTTCTTCTAATTTAAATTCGTCACACATTCAAACCGGTCTGCAAGTATCATACACGTCCAAAGCGTACCAGACTTCTTCTTCCGTGTTGCGTTTGACGTGTCACTGCAGTAAGTTTCAATTGCAACTAGTGGTGCAAACCGCCATTTATTGTGGAAATTTTGTGGTATGTTTCAAGAGGTGATAAAGGTCTACTTGGCTTCCAAGGTATTTGACCATTAACAAACTTGCCACCCGCCACCCAAAAAAGCTCGCTTTTAGGTGCACTATTAAACGAGTTTTGTCATGGTAGTGATATCGACATTCTTAGAAATCAATCAAGCCACACTATAAAATAGTGTATTAATGGTTGCTTGTGGTCTGGAGTAAAGAAGTACTGCTATAATGTGACCCTAAAATCTATAAAAATCTAAACGCATTTTTTTATTATTTACACCTGTGTCGTGCACAAGTTGCACATGTGGACGCGACGCCACTGGTAATTTTCAATAGTGACCAATTGATAATTGTTAAAGTGTTCATTTGAGCAGATTCGTAGAAAAATTTCCAATCGTTTGGCTATTTGTTTAGAATTAAAATCGATCAGCTATTGACAGTGTTATAAGTGGTCAAACCCTGACCACTGTTTATAACGCGGTCGATTTTGATTTTTTTTAATTGCACTCACAAAGACGTAATTCTACGTCAAAAATAAAACTTTGTATTACAGCACTGAATCACTGTTCTTCAAACAATTTCATAAAATAATGCCTCACACTGCTTCCTGCTTGTAATTGATTGAAAATATATGCGTATGCTGCTTTTTTAGTATCGGCTTTTGTTACCGAAACAAATATTCTCTACAAGCGGCTAGGTATGAACGTCGAATTAGATAGTACCTTGCATTTAGACTTGCCCACAAAAATAAAAGTTCTTATTTCCCACGGGCCAACCTCTAGATTTGTGCCTTTAGTTGAGAAAACCATTCTCTGAAAGTTTTAGCTCATTTGGTTCTAAGATGAGCTGGAACTTTTAGTTTGAATTTTGTATAGGGAATTTGTATAAAATACATGAAAAAATGACACTCCTACACTCCATCGATCATAAATAATTAATAATTAATTAATTTCTCCATAATACTAACTTGAATCGTGATGCTGTCTTGAGCTACGTGTGATGACATTCTGAGCTTAATCGAGTTTGCTGAACCAGTTCTATGCACGAAATGGCGAAGGAATATTATTTCTCCATACATTTCAACCAATATCCCCATATAAATTTTAAATCAAATGCACCAGCTCGTGTTACATCCGAATGAGCTGAAATTCAGAGAGTGATTTTCTCACCTAATCTAGGGGTTGGTCCGAGGGTTGGTCCGTTGAAAAAAATGATAAAAATTTTCCCCCATATAAATGTAATCTTGCATACCTAAGTAACAAACACCCAGTAGCTTAGCTTTCAACTTTTGTTTTCAAAATGAAAATGAACTATATCTACGCAAAAAAAACAATGCAAATCTATTTCATATTTTAGTTTGAGTGGCTCACTTAGCCTAGTGTTCATATAATAGTTAATCTCATAAGAAATCAATACGCTCCACTATTATGAAAACCTTAGTTAATAACTACGACAACTACTGGAACAGTGTTCCTATTAATTGAGGACGATTTTTCGAAAAAGTTTTTAATTAAATCGCAATGTAATATTTTTTTAGCAAAATAGTGGTGTAAGCGATAGATTGACGTATAAATATTGTATGCAGATCGTTCATTTAATTTTAATAAATACATTATCTTAGTCCTTCCCACCCTTCCTTCAAATATAATTTAATTCTAATAGAGACGAACCAGCTCAGCTCAGGGCTGAAAGTTTCTATAATAAAGCAAAAAAAAGTAAAAGAAGAATTACATTATAATCGACAAGGATATTGTTAAGTATATAGATCTCATTTTTTTTTCAGACATTCTTGTGAAATTAGTGATAATTTGAGAAAATATGGATGGTCACACCACGATGGACGAAATTTTGGCATTCAAGAAATTGTAGATGACTCCATTTCGCTTCAAACTTCTTTCGTGAAATCCAACCACGACAATCTACCAAGCTGGACTGCTAAAATTGATGTTAAGCAGAAGAAATCTGCCCAAAACAAAACCAAAATATCATTGATTTGGTATACCGCTTTCGAATCCGTTGAGGATGGATTTTTAAATGTTACAATAGAGAATGCTCAACCCCGTATAGAGGCAATGTCGTTCACACTAGGTGGAATGGAGATTAAATTTTTGAATAATGGTATGTACCTACGTTATAGATATGTATAGAGGAAAACCGTCATGTACTGCAGTTACTTTTTTTTTTAATACCTAATATTATTTTTTCTTCAGATGTAAATACAGCAACCGAGATATCAACATCATGTACATTCTCCAGTAGCATCGATAAAGTGAAAGAAGCAATTGTAGAAACACTCGCCTTTACAAAAGATGGTCAAACCACAAAATATTATTTAGATAATAAGGCGGAAAAGGTAAGTGAAAACAGAGATACAACTTATTTTGTGTTTCGAAGTATTGTCTCGAGTAATTTTTCCTTGCATGTACTGTAACTTTTCTATTGTATTGCAGGTTCCATGTAACGTGGCAGCAGTTTTGGTCACGTTCGAAGTGCCCGGTTCATTTCTCATTACAATGCACAATACTAGCGATCGGCCCACTGATGAGTCTCCACCGGAAAACCAGTTCCAGCAGAATCTAAATTTTTATAAGCAAAAATTTACAGATAAATTCAACTCAATCTTCAATCTTGAAGCCAAAGGATTTACACCTAGTGAGGTGGCTTTTGCGAAATCAACAATGAGTAATTTGATAGGAGGTATTGGTTACTTTTACGGTGCCTCTAAAGTTCAAAGTGAATACAACGAAAATCCCATTAACTACTGGAAAGCTCCGCTATATACGGCAGTTCCTTCAAGATCGTTTTTCCCAAGAGGGTTCCTGTGGGATGAAGGTTTCCACACGTTACTAGTGTCAACCTGGGATATAGACATAGCATTAGATATAATGAAGCACTGGTTTGATCTCATGAACATCGACGGATGGATACCAAGAGAACAGATTCTAGGTAGCGAGGCTTTAGCAAAGGTACCTGCTGATTTTGTTGTACAACGTAGCTCAAACGCAAATCCTCCTACGTTTTTCTTAACGCTTAGATACTTACTGAACAATTATGAAGAGAAACTAAAAGAGCCTAGGCGCCAAGAAAGTCTTAATAAAATATATCCTAGGTTGCAGGCATGGTACTCTTGGTTTAACAAAACGCAATTAGGACCCGATCCAGGTAGTTATCGTTGGCGAGGTAGATCGATTACTATCGAAGAAATCAATCCTAAGACTTTGACATCAGGTTTAGACGACTATCCTAGGGCGTCACATCCAGATAATCAGGAAAGACACGTTGATTTACTGTGCTGGATGCAATTAGCATCGCATGTGATGTTTGATTTAGCCAGATTTTTGGGTAGAGACGATTCTAAATACTACGAAACATACGAATATTTATCCAACGTCGAGCATCTAGATTCGCTTCACTTATCGCCTAGAACAAACACTTATGCTGATTTCGGATTGCACACTGACAAGGTGAGGTTAAAATTAGTTCAAAGCCAATCTGAAAGAGCTGTGGTACGTGAAGTTATGCAAGCACCAAGTTATAAATTAGTAGATGATGTTTTTGGATACATTAGTCTTTTCCCTTTCCTCATGAAAATTTTACCAAGTGATTCCTCATCTCTCAAAACAACATTGGATAATTTGCGAAACCCTGACATTTTGTGGACCGATTATGGAATACGTTCGTTGTCGAAGAAATCTACTTTATATATGGAGCGTAATACAGAGCATGACCCTCCTTATTGGAGAGGTCAAATTTGGATAAATATGAACTACTTAGTGCTAGGGGCTCTTAATCATTATAGGAACAAGGTAGGCCCTAATAAAATATTAGCTCAAGAAATATATGACGAATTGAGGAAAAATATCGTGAGCAATATGTACCGACAGTACCAAAAGACAGGATATGTATGGGAAAATTATAAAGACGATACTGGAGAAGGTAAAGGATGTTATCCTTTCACAGGATGGAGTTCACTTGTTGTGATGATTATGGCTGAAATATATTTGTAAAATGGTTTTCAGAATAATCGAGCTTTGTGTTTTAGTTGTGAATGCTGTTTGATCCATTTAAATATCGGCAAATGCGATACGTTATTTTCTTAACACTTTCTCTCTTGTTTATTTCAAGACAAACCATGGATTAGGTTCTAAGTAACATTGACAGATTCTCTTCGTAGGTTTTCTAGCAATGGTACCAAGTTAGGAACCAATTATTTTTTTTTTCTTCTTTGATCTTTGTTCAGTCAACGATTCCAGACTTCCCGCAAAAACGCGAACCATAACATGACCTTACCGAAAATGGTTAAAAATTGTTTATAATCCCTGCTAAACTTTAACTGAAATGGTTATGGAACTTAACATGAACCTTTGTGTGATAAAGTTTCAACCTTATGTATTATGGTTCTTTGGAAGTGAACCTTACAAATAATGGGTTTGCTAAGAACCATTACCATTCAAAATAGTTGTTTTTTTTTTCCATACATTTTCGGAGAGAGTAACCAGTCCGCTATATATTCCACATAAAGTTGATGGATGTTACAAAACCATCTACAACATTACCGACTACCATAACCATTACCATTAAAGTTCTGAAATCATAAATAAAATGTTTCCAATTCCTTTCCCAAAAATGTATGGAGAAAACAATAATTTGTAATGGCAATGGTTCTTAACAACCCATTATTTATAAGGTTCACTTTCAAAAAACCTGAATACATAAGGTTAAAACTTTATCAAACAAACGTTCATGTAAAGTTCCGAGTGCAACAACTAGACCATATTGGCACAGCGTAAAGCATGGCCGGTCTAAATACTTGTTTAAATATTAGAAGTTTATTCGTTAGGCAAAGTTTAGACACAGACAAACAGACATAACACATTGAATATTTCTGATTGTAAAACATTGTCGCTAAAACATTACCGGCATCTGTTGAGTACACTGTGGTGGGTAGTATCAACCGGTGGAAACTAACGATATATAAATTGGCTCACTACTTGACTAGCCTATTGGTCCCAAGAAAATCGATTAACGGACCCCATTCTAGTACTACACTATGTTTGTTTTGATTTGCTATGAAAGATTGACAGATAAAATTAGGGGTTCGTGGATTTTCCTATGTTTGGAGGGGTGCATCGATTAGCTTGGGACCGAAGATAGTACCAGAGCAGAGCCAAAAAGTTGGGCGCGTTTCTTCGGGACCTACTAGTCTAAGAGTTACCTCTATGGTACTACGCTGAACAGATGGCGGTAGTGTGTAAACGTCAAACGCATGGGAATTCACTATATATACGCGCCACAGGTGGCAGTACTACAAACTGAAATAGTTTCAAATTGACCGTTAAATGCTGTTGGATGAACAACTTATGAGTGTTATGTCTGTTTGTCTGTGGTTTGGATTTCCTGTTTATAAGAGGATACAAACATTTTATAAATTTATTACATTTGGCTTGATGAAAGCCCTCAATGTGATCTTTAAAAGTTAATTTTTGGTTTAGTACTAACCCAAGATATTTCAGAAGGTGAGTACACGGCATATAGATCGCTTGCGTTGTTTTTCGCGTGGAATATTTGTGTAAATTTTCATGTGTTTTTCGGTCGGTTAGTGTAGTTAATCACAAATATTAGTGGTCGGTGCATTCAAAACGGATGGAATTGCGAAGAAAATATGTGCTTGAAATTGTAATTCGATTGTTTTGTTCAACAGAGTGTGTAGCCATTTTTCTCCTTTTGCTTATGGTTGTGTTACTTTTTCCCGTTTATACACATACGTTTGGGCGTACAATACCGACTGACCAGTTGGCAAGCAATCGTGATGTGTGTGCCCTATACTGCTGCTCTTCGCATGTCGGTCCCATGGCAAAAATCAGCATCAGCGAGAAAATCGCATTTTAAGCTTGATTCGTACGATTGCTTCTTATGTGATGAGACAACCAATTTGGCTGTCTTTCCAATCTTTTTCAGAACAAAGTTTATGAGTTCATCCAGTATTATGAAAATATGGGTGATCAGCTACCATTTGCATTGTAAAACTCAGTTTTGACAAAAATTGCTTTGGGATCGACATGCGAAGAGCGGCAGTATAGGCCGTATACGGTTATAAGAGTAAAAATAAGAGAACTAGTGCAGTGAGCATGAATAAGCGCTTTATTATGACGGTAGTGGTGGCATATTGTGATGCACAAGTGAAATTGTGAAGTTAAATCAGAAAAAAGGAGGCAATGAATGGAGCTCGAGCTGTGACGGTATTAAAAAGCGACTTCCGGTTTATTTTTGAGGACTCGTGGTGGTTTCCTTCTTTTTTGCCTGTGCCGCGTATCGGCACCACAGAGAACAGACGTTGAGGCTCGAACAAAATTTCCATAAAAACTTGTGTAAATGTTCCTATTTGACTTAAGCGCCACTAACGGCGACTTCCCCACTTAAAAAATCCTCTTTGACAACATGATGGCGTTGGCGTTGCAAAACTTACACGAGACACTAAGTACTGGTAGCGCCAAGTGGTAATTTTCAACAGATAATTTATCGATACTAGCGCCAAATTGGTCGAAAGTGATAAATTAGGGGAAATCAGGAGATGCTAGCGCTACGTAACGGCGACGTTTCCACTTAACATTACACAAGTTTCTGACCGAACTTGGACGTCTGTTCTCTGTGTCGGCACTGACTCTGACTCGTATTTGACATGTGATTGTTTTTTTTAGTTGAAGATGCTAATTTCAAATAACAGACTGTAGTGGTAATTTTTATACGATAGATGGAGTAGATGAAAGCATAGAGTTGATAGTTCCGTTAGAGTACGGCAGTGTGAAGATTGTATATAGATATTAGACAAGCGAGCTAGGACAACTTTTAAGGAAGGTACAAATCGGTTTTTTTATCTCTCTTTACCAAACTCCCCCTTTGGAGTGATTGTTGCCGTAGACTAGACAGGTGATGTGTAGTGTGAGGCATTTGAGTGTATGGAGTGGTGCGGTAGCCGATTGTAATAAAGAGATGAGTGTACAGGTGTGAATGTAACAGCACGATGCGCTAAGCTCAATTTTTGGGTTTTTGGTGGAGGTGTACTGTTATGCATGACAGGGAAAATGAGGGAATGGGTGATATAGCGAAAGTTTGCCATGAGTAAAAGTTGAGTTGAAAATTGTGATGTTTCAAAACAGCAGTCCTAACTTTCTGTGTACGGATTATAGTCGGAGTGAGCATACAGCTTTTGGAAACTGTCATGCTGTATTTCATAGTAGTAGATGTGAGGCTATTGTGTTTAGACGGGAAGAGTCCGTGTGATCTTGTCAGCCCAGGTTGGGTAGAGTGGGACAGTGGAGAGAGGACACGAATACAGACGTGAGTGATCCCGCTTGATATTGTTGTGACGGCATTGAATGACGCATGGTTGTATGACAGATTTAAATTGGAAAGACTGTCCATCTGATTTATGTGAATGTGTGTGTGTGTGTGTTTTTTTGGCCAGAAGGAAACCTTCAAAAGGTCATCATGCCACCTCCTTGGACTCCTTGCCCTTTTCCCCCGGAACCACTTGTCGTATTACTTCGGAGGGGGCCGTGCATTACGCACCTCACTTTATCTCAGCTAACTGGCGCTTCCAGTCCGCTGATCGTCTCTCCAAGTTGTGAGCCATTTAGCTCCCAGCGTAGCGTTCTACTCGGTTAACCCTGGTGGTGGATTCAGCCTACTCTGACGGAGAGTTCTCCCGGCTTCGGCTTTCACTTCGCACTTGTGTGAGCACATTACTACTTTCTAGCTGGTCCTCTCGCCATTTTCGCTGTAGCGCTGACATGATCTGCGCTACTGCTCTGCTGACGGCGTTAACGGTGCCCTCCTCTCGACACATTTCTTCGACTACATTCTTCGTGCTAAGGGTGAGCATCTCCTCTCGCACAGCATCAAATCTAGGACATTCGAAGACCACGTGCTCTGGTGATTCTTCCAAATTCAAACTCTTCGGACAGAAGGGTGACGTTGTGTATCCGCACCGATGCAGGTACTTCCTGAAGCAGCCATGACCAGACAGGAACTGCGTCAAGTTTGTTTCTTGTTCACCCAGGTCGAAAGAACCGGTATTAGCCTGTGTGTCCATCTACCGTTCTCTGTTGCATCCCACTCCTGCTGCCACTTAGCCATCGACATCGTTCTCACCATTTTTCGTACTCCTCTGGTTTCTCTCGTCATATAGCACTCGTAGTCCTCCGCCAAGGTGATGCCGATTGGGATCATACTGGCGATAACGCATACTGCCTCCTGTAGTGTACCTACATGCTTCCATCAAAATTGAACATAGACACATTAAGCAACGCTACTTCAGTGTCTGCTTAAGTCAGCATTTTGGCATAACCAGCAAGTATGGGAACGATTGCCTCCATCGTGTCTCACCGTAAACTGTTCAACTAAAAATGACTCCTCGTCAGCATGTTTCATGTTAGGTAGCTGGTTACTATACATAGAAATAAAGACAAAACATTCTAACTCCAACATCGGTTGTGTCCAGTTGTACAAAGATATCACATCCACGTACCGATAAGTTATCGGTGAAGTTCCACTGGGGCTGACTCGGTTGATGCGAGTTGGGCACCAACAAATATTAAAACCAGAGAAGATGCCACACTCCATCGAAATGGTTCTGTACGCACTCACGACTCGCATGGCCATTAGACTGATGCAAATTTTGACATTTTTGCTCCACAGTGCTCAAACGGTTCCAAATCGGGTCCTGATTAGTCTCCCAAAATTTGAACTCATTCGATAAGAAACTGACTTGGCACAAACCATTTGAAGTTTATATGGAAATTACTATAGGAAAACCAAATGTTTTGTTCATATTCATCTAACAATTTACCATATCGCTCTGCTTAAAAAAATGATAACTGAGCTAGTAGAAAATTTTCTCAGCTACAACTTTGTCTTAAACCACTTTTCAATATAATGTAAGCATCAAAAGTTATCAATAATTCAAGCCACTAATGTCTTACGATTATGCTCAATCAACTGTTCAGCAGGCAACATTGGTGTTTCTGGCGCTTGGAATAGAGCACAAAAATCATGGCTACTATGTCACACTGCAAGGTACAGTGTTGCTCACAAAATAGCTGCTTGATCATGCCATAAGATTATCAATCTCTTAAACAATTAATAACTATTTTATTTGACGTTTAACTCAACAACTATATCCTGCTAAGTTGAAGCTGAGAAAATTTTCCATAAGTATAGCTTTTGAATGTTTGAACAGTGCAATATGGAATAAGGGTTAGAAGACAATGAACAAAAAGTTTGGATTTCCTATAGTAATTTCCATATAAACTTCAAATGGTTTGTGCCAAGTCAGTTTCTTTTCAAATGAGTTCAAATTTTGGGAGACTAATCAGGACCCGATTTGGAACCGTTTGAGCACTGTGGAGCGAAAATGTCAAAATTTGCATCAGTCTAATGGCCATGAGCCGGAACGTACTGCTCAATTTCCTTTGGTTTTGCTTAGTTTCCAGCGCTTCAATCCAGGCTGTACCTCCGTATCTTAGTATCGATGAGGACACACTAGCCAGAAGACGCCTCTTGCTGCTGCTTGGACCAGAACTGTTCGGCATGATTCTGGCTTTTGCGTTGATGATCTTCGCCGCCTTCTCGCAAGCATATTCTATGTGGCTGTTAAAGTTTAGCCGGTCGTCGATCATCACTCCCAGATACTTCAGCACGCGCTTCGAACCAATGGTGTCCCATTGCATTGTAAGTTTTATCACGGTTTTAAAGCATGCTACAAGTCTAATTCATAGTCTGTAGAACTCTCATAAAACCCCAATTGCTACTTGGGGTGCTCTCCAACGGTGATTTCTGTCCGCTGCACTGCTTTGCAGTTACTGACAAACATCACTTCTGTTTTGTGGTTGGCTATCTGCAGCTTCGCTCCTTGCGTCCAGTTACCAATCATATCTATCGCCTCGGCCGCCAGCATTTCCACTTCTTCCAGCGGCTCACCGGTTACCGTCAAGACGACATCGTCCGCAAAGCCAACGATCTCAACTATTTTGGGCAGCTTGAGCGTCAGCACGCCATTGTACATTCCATTCCACAGCGTGGGACCTAGAATGGAGCCTTGTGGAACTCCCGCCGTGATTCTAAGTGATTTATGCCCCGTGTCTGTCGCGTAGACCAGGACCCGGTTCTGGAAGTAACTGCTTAGAATACTGCAGAGGTATTATGGAACCCTCATTCTATGGAGCGCCTTGGCGATGGATTCCCAGCTGGCGCGGTTGAATGCATTCTTCACATCAATCGTTATCACGGCGCAGTATCGATTTACTCTTCGCTTCTGTTTGGAAGCTTTCTCGGCTCTATCAATCACTGTTGAATGGGATACCTACCACCACTCGTTGAATGGGATACCTGCCCATGAGTTGTATGGCCACCATTCCTGCTCTATCCGCCACCCAGTTACCATTATCGAGAGGGACTCTGCAATGATAGGAACGTCGCACTTTGTCTCCGTTGTTCACTGCCACAACAGTTGCTGTGCTGTGTTGCAATGATTGAGATTTATTTGGGTTACCTTCATTACTGCTGGCCCACCATCGCCTTCTTGAACTCTGGGCACCTGAAACTTCCCGTCGCATGGCCGTTTCCGTCCTCCTTTTTGCAGAGCATGCACCTCGGTTGCTTTGTACAGTCTTTTGCACCAATGTCCATACTCCTCTGGTATCTCTTCGCATATAGCACTCGGTGTCCTCCGCCAAGGTGATGACGATGGGTATCATACCGGCGATAACGCATACTGCGTCCGACGAAATTGTTCTGTACGTACTTACGACTCTCATGGCCATGAGGCGGAACGTACTGTTCAATTTTCTTTGGTTCTTCTGAGTTTGTAGCGCTACATCCCAGGCTGGACCTCCTTACCTCAGTATCGACGACGATACACTAGCCAGAAGACGCCTCTTTATTTGTATTTGTTTATTTGTATACTGAAAAATTCAACTGACAATTATTGTCTAAATGAATAAACTTAAACTAAATAGTTACGGTCAACGGTACGGAAAAGGCCAAGTAACCGATGACGAAACACGTCAGCTGATACATTGAAGTCGAACATATAAAAGAAATTGTTGAATTGCCGGTTGATTGCTCGAATTGGCTCGTGTTGTGTATAATTTCGGCGCCGTGGTTCCAAAAACAGAAAGTTGCGTTGACGGAGAGGCCTCTCAGGGGCATACATATACAGGGTGTTTGGTTCCGGGTTTTACATATTTTCAGGGTAGATAGGGCTCCTAAAGTTATGAAAAAATCCCCATGAAACATAGGGTCGGAAATGACTGCTAAGTGAGTTATTCAACATTTTATGTTTTTTTGTATTGCCAACTTTGGTTACCTATATTTTTTTAATCTTGATGTGGTTTTCTGATTTCAACATACCAAATGAAAGATTAAAGTCTTATCTTAAATGATCTTTGAAAAAGAACTCGATTAAAGTTAATTATCATACATTAAAATTGAAAAGTATGTTGAAAGTACCAAAAAAACTGGTGAAATTTCATACATTTTAGTGTTTTTAAGTTGAAAATTTTCATTTCTGTTTATTTAGTTGTTCTACAAAACATTTTCCATGCAGTTCCCTAGATTTGTGCCTTTGGTAGTAACCTTGTAGGCTTTATGGTTTCTTCGTAATTATTGATTTAAAACAGCCATAAAAACTTGTGACGTTTTCATAAAATGCGCTATAGTCACCCTATTCGTTCGTACGTTCGGCTGTTGCAGTGGACTACGCACATGAAAATTTGGTATAATGTTATTTTAAATGTTTAGCTACATTCTTAACTTGTTCAGCTGTTCCATATTCGGTAAAAAAAATTACAGTATACTCTAAAAAAAAACATAGTGTGTACCTACCCTCGGCCCCTGCCTCCCAATTGGAGTCAGCTAAATCCTTCTGCAACGTCCGATGAACACGTTGTCGAGCTCCGCAGGAAGGTGTATAGTTATGTTGACTGCTCGGAAAGTCGTTGCAGCTCACATGCTATGTTATACTGCAGATGTTGCAGTTCGTTGACTTGTATTCGCTGTTGTTGAAAGCGTCCGTTGTTGTCCTCGTTAGTCCGGTTGGTTGAGCGGCTGCGTTGGTAGGTTGCATATGCATGCATCGGAAGATCTAAACGATGATTTGGCAACCGTGATAAATGATCCAAATACGTCCCTTGGTAGGGAAGCAGCAAGAAACTAAATACAACAACAACAACAAAATATGGTTTAAACTTTTTAATACAATGAAAGAGATTTGTGCTTGAATTTTATCTAGTTTTGATTTTTAAATTTCTTTAATCAAAACAAAAAGTTCTGCATGTAAATATCAAACAGGTTTCAGTTAACCATAAAAACTACGTGGACAGTAGCTGTACCCCTCACTCCCTCCGTAAACACGCGTAGTCATTTCCGAAACCTCCCGCCTTCACCCTACCTGTCTACGTAGCTTATGGGCAGCCTTTTATGTAGGTATACAAGGCCATATATGTTTTCATTCAGCTTCTTTAATGATGAGTTGCACTCTCAAAATAATGCATCTTTGTCTATAAAGACTGGAGAAAATAAGCTCAGGGCCGATAAATTTAACAGTAGAATAAATCAATAAAGAATTATTTTCCTGAACCAACACACCCAGAGAGTATGTACAAACGAAAGCAAAAAAATTATCGTTAAACAAGAAGTTAGGCAGCCCTAAAGTTATATCTTTAAAATTTATCAACATTTATGTGGTCAATTCATGTGGGTTTATTCAGCTTTTGGCTTCTGAATCACCGACGTGTAACGACGTAAACGTTCTCTCCTGATAGCGATCCGACCACCGCGGTTAATCTTTGCTATGGATTTGCAATAGATAAAGGGATTGCAATCGAAATGTGAAAACGATAAAATGTTACTCGATTTAGTTCCTTGCTGACTGTTTCGAAGCTGCAACGTGAAAATGTCTGGATTGGGGCGGCAACTTGGAGCAGTATTAAGCGGTACGTTTCAACATTAAATTTTGATTACTTGCAATAAGAGCTATCGCTAGATTTAACTTTGAGATTTAACCTTTGCTCTGGTTGAGTACTACTTCGTCGTGCAAGGCCAGTGCTTGGCATGCATGCTTGGTATGCGTAAAACAACTTTCAGTATCATCCTTTCAACAGTTTTAGTGTTCAGTTACTCACTTCACAAGTAGGGAAAATGGATGTAATGTCGGCCTAAATGCCCCTAATTTGGGCCCATACATAAATTCAGCAATCGACTAAATTTTCAATAGCGACCAAAAAATATCCATTAGTACCGTCCCAATGACGCGTTAATCTAGATAAAATGGATAAATAGCTGATTTTTAGCCAACATTAGAGCCATTTCCCCTACATAGAATCACGATTGATGTACATAGTAAGAATAATAACAGTTTGTTTAGAATACGGCTTAATAAGAGTCAGAGCATGATGCAGTTGTGCCCCACCTTACACCTTTCCAACGAACTAAGAGCAATTTTTTTGTCGACAAAATATATGTTTTAAGCATTACAATGTATTTTTGATTTCACGTCTTTTAGGTATACTGCTGGTCTTTTGTGGAGGAATTCATATCGGATGGAGTATTTTCCATTTGTATATGGAAGGAAATAAATGGGCAGTAGGAATCACTATTGATGAGTACCGTTTCGCGATATTATCGTTTTTCACTGGAGTTGGATTTATACTCGTCATACTGACCTTCTCAAAAGAATGGCTTTCGACGCGAATATGGTTGGTAAGTAAAATGAAGGAATCATTACCGTGCTAGTTGTGTAAAACGGGGTCAATTTAATCACTAATATTTCCCATTAAAGGGCAATAATAGCATGCAACAATATATGAAAAAATTAAAATACCTGGACAAACAACAATGAAAAACCTCAGTAATCAAATACACCGTCCTGATCAATTTGGACTAGTTAACTGAATTCAATTCAGATAAATTTGGACGGTACTTCAACGTAAAACGGGGTAACATTGATAGTTATTTAAAGTATATTCTAAATAATATTTACAGCAATGAATGGTTTTCAAATTTTATATTTTTAAAACAAGTACTGAGGATCCAAGAGTCAGTTTGTCAGTAATATGTTTAAATGAAATTAAAGCATTTGTACTATTTTTTAGTTTTGTGACCGAACTTCAGTTTTTTGATTTGGGGTTACTTTGATAATGCTCGATGAATGTAGAAAAATATGGTTGAAACTCAAAAAATTTTGTTCTTTGAATATGAAACTTTGAATGAGTATATAATCAGAAAACATCATAAGCAATAAGATTACCACATTGAATTTGTGATGGCTATATCGGAAATACATTTTATAATTGATGGTTTGATTATTTTATCAAACAGGCGAAAACACGAAAATTGTTTTTTTAATATTTTTGTAAAATAGGTAACACATACTATATAAAAACTATAGACAATATCAACGAAAATACCCTAAGCTACAATATGGAACCAATGTTTCTAATTTGGAAAAAGCACAACGAGTAAACTTAATCTTTACATTATACTATCAAAGTTACCCGCATTATCAAAGATACCCCGTTTTACGGTACCATACTTTGCGGACGCACATATTTTCTCAATTTTGATGAAATGTTACAATAAGTTTGTTATACTTTCTAGTGCATGGAAACAAATGGGGATTTATTTTTTTATTAGCAGAGAAAATTGACCGAACAATCTTAGAATTTTATGAAATTATGCCCACAAGTAGAGTTTATGGTTGAATGAATAAAAACTTCAAAAAGTTCGGGTGGAAAATTTTAGTGTAAGTTTTCGGATTTTTCAGAACATCGCGTTCATAGAGCATCGTGTAGTGAAATGATAAGGAAATTATCTCAGCAATACAATTGGACATTTGCCCTCCCTCAAAACTGTCTACGTAGTTAATGAACAGCCCCTTAGTTGAGCGGGACCCAAGCCTCCTTCCACCCCATCGCTGTGATCCACCTTTAACCGCTGACTTGCTCCTGCTTACTGCAGGACCCAGTGCCACGCCGTCCGAAGCGGTAATGAGCTGAGGCACGGCCGCAGTGCTTTTTTATATCTTTCCAGGTTCAAGCAGAACGATGTGCAACCAAGTGGTACTTGATTATGACGACTGGATTTGGGACAAACGTTTATTTCATGAAAACAGTGATAAAATTATCATTTGTTCATTTTTCAAAAGTTTTTTTTATGAACATTTGGATAAACAGCAGATTTGTAATGTAATATCCTATCGATTAGCGTATTTGGATTATTATTTCATCTATAAATGTCAAAGCTACAAGCGTTCAAAACCTAACACTATTTCGGATCGAATTACCTAAATATACTGGGCCGTTAGCTTTAGGTCAGTTAGCTTCGCGTCAATATATTGATTCGTGTGGGGTTCGCTTAAGAGAGATAGAGAGAGAGAGAGAAAGTACTGAGATAGTTTATTTTTCACGACGTAATTGAAAGAGGACAGTCTTTATACGGAATTTGTCATGCGCTGTTTGGAGTGCGACGTAGATAATGATACAATATTTTTCATCACTGACTTTGCTCTCTCTACGTTGATGCAAGACAGCCCTGGTGCTGTTCATCGCACCAGTTATTGAGAGAGTAGCAAGTCTTTGCAGTCTCCCCAGCTTCCTCTGAGGCGATTTTTCATTAGTTTTCGGCCACCAAACCAATGATGCGTAGGATATTCTGGGTCTTACAATCGTCAAATAAGTCCAGTGGATCATTTTTGACTTTAGGCCCTATTTCCTACCAAAAGTTTTTTTACTTATCCAAAGAGCATTTATTGCCTTATTAACAACCTGCTCTATATGTGAATTCCAGTTAAGTTTACTGCCAAGAATGACTCCCAGATACTTGACTGTTCGTGAAAGTTGCAAAAAAGTCAACATTGTGTTTTTCATGTAGTACTAAGATGCATTATCAAATGCTCCTTTAATATCAATGAACGCTGCTAGTGACATTTTTTTTAATCAAAATTTTTTCTAGTTTTGTAACAAGCGTGTGAAGAGCTGTTACTGTTGATTTACCAGGTTGATATGGAAACTGATATTTACTCAAAGGAATTGCAATCTAGTACGTTGATTTTATATGCTGATCTATTATTTTCTCCGTTATTTTTAGCATAATAAACTGATCGGCCTGAAGGATTTAGAAGAAGTTTTATCTTTTTTATTAGTCTTCGGAATAAATATAACCTTTACTTGACGCCAAGTTATCGGAATATAACTTAATCTTAAGCTTGCTCTAAACAAGCCTGTTAGAATTGGTGGCATAGTTCCTTTTCCTTTCTGAAGTAGTACTTGAAAAATTATGTCCCTACCTGGTGATTTGAAAAGTGCAAAAGAATCGATCGCCCATTCGCCTCGTTTTTCTGTAAAAATTTTATTGGCCAGATTACGAGCGTCTTTCCTGGCAATCTCTAACCCAGTCGATTCGTTCATTGTTGTCTGAACTTCCGTCCTGATTTTTTCAGAGCCAGTTTGCGCTGCACGTGTATTTTGGTCTTCATTTATGTTGGTACTTGAACATGGAAAGTGTGTTTTCATCATTGTTTCTAATGTTTCTTCCACAGATCTAGTAAAAGTTCCGTCTTCATTTTGAAGAGTTCCTAAGCCTGAGAATGATCTTTTGCAAGAATTTTTTGCAATCTGGCAGCAACTGGAGTATTTTCAATGTTTTCACATGTATGCCTCAAGTCCTTCCTTTTAGATCTTCGGATTTCCTTATTACATATAACATGTGAGGGCTTCCCTGTATTGATCCCATTGTCTTGTTATTTTCGCCCGGTTAAATAGCTTACTGGTTTTTTTTCTTCCGAAGTTTATCTAAGGTTTTGCAGGACAGCTGTCGTAATAAACTTATTGGATTAAGCTTGAAAGCTGATTAGTATTTTTCTAGTTCATTGCATGTTTTTAACTCCAACTATAAGCTTTGAGTTGTATTGCTTCCTGCTAGTTTTCCTGGGATATCTTATAGTTTCAAAGATTTGTTGATTAACTTCATAATTAAATATGATTTGCTTATGATCGGACAAAGATACTTAATCAGATTCGTGTCAATTCTTGATTTTGTCAGAAATCGTTGGACTACATAGTGTTAAGTCAAGAACTTCTTGCCTAATTGTGTTTATAAAAGTTAGATCATCCCCCTTATTGCATATATTTATTTCATGTTTTGAGACAAAGTCTAAAAGGCACTCACCTCTGCTGTTGATGTCTGAACTGAACCACAATGTATGATGGGCATTTGCGTCATATTCAAGTATGAATGCTTTATTTTGTTTCTTGCAGTAAGACACAAAATGTGCAACCTCTGGTGGAGGTACATCTCCCACGTGGCCCACGTCTCCAGGAAAGTATGCTGGAGCAACGTGAATTTCCGTTTTTTCCGTGGCTTGTTGGCACCTCCATATGCCTCCATCATGATTGCTGCGATGCCTCTTTTAATAAATTCTGTAATCTGTAGTGAGCCAATTTAAAATCGTTAGTTTCCAACTACTCCTTTAATCTACTACGGCGATTGCACTACTGGATTAAAGGATTACAACATTACTACAATCATGTCTGTCGATGGTATTAGCACAAACGAAGTTACAGACGACTAACTGGCGAAGAAATTAATTAAAATAATGTGGTTCGCTATAATAGAATTTTCTTAGCAGCTTGTGCCATCATCCACCATATGGGATAGTATTTTTGTTTTGGTTTTGCACAAAGTTGATTTTGTGTACAATGATTCTTTGACAGTGTGCAAAGAGTGTATCATTTTGTCATTATTTTATGCATTTCAGTTTTGAGTAGAGTGAAAGAGATAGAACCATATAGAACCAAAACATTCTAGTACATTTGGTGAAAATGCTAGTTCAATCCAATAGTAGTGTTGCCATGTGGTACACTGAAAAATTGCAATATAAGGTTAGTCACCAAAGTTTTCGAGCCGCTCCGTCTGTCACTTCGTTTGTGGTATTAGAGCACCCTCCAAAGGAGGGCCCCTTTGTCAGTGTGGTTTCCTTAGCAACAAAATCAAGAAATGACATCAATACATGCATAGATGAAGAATTATCAACTCATTTTTCTTGTTTCAAGGTCATCATATCAGAGGCGAACCAGCGTTTAGGCTGAAAACCTCTTAAATAAAAAAGGTCATCCTCGGTGGAGCTCCCGAATCTTGTCACTATTAACATGGCATACAGAATAAACAAGGACTAAGATGCGTTTCTTTGCTTACTGAAATATTCCGCTAGTTTGAAGTTGCCAGGTCTTGTGTACGTTGATAGATCTTAGATGAGCTGCCATCCTTGAGTGATTGCTGATTAATTTATAAATAATTTCAATTTGTCGTCCGTTGAACTTAGTATCAGCAAATCTCGCCTTCGGAGCTACATTCATTCATTTTGACTAAAATAATGTTGTTTGGAATTATGGGATCATAAGGTATTACTATGATATTGCGCGTTTCACACCAAATTGGACTAATAAGCGCGTTTTCACTTATTAAAAAGTGCGATAAAACTGCAAGTTTACGTCTAATCGTCTTGGTGTCTTGCGTGCACTTATTTCTTATGATGCAAGCAATAAGTGCTCCGAAGACATCAAAACGATTTGACGGAAACGTGCACTTTTATCACACTTTTTGCATTTGTGGGACAGTCCAGTTTCAGATGCAATCAGCAATATTTTAACAAGAAAAGATTGTAACACAAAGACACATAAAACCTACAAATTTAGAATTGACAGAGTCACAAGGAGCGATTTTCTGATCGCCTCTTCACGAAAAGTGAAGAACGAAGAGTGGGTGAGATGAATGACAAAATCGCTTATTTTCGACTCTCATGTACCAAAATTGGCAATAATACCTGCCAAATACAAACTTCACAATCTTTTCTTGTTGCTTACACAACTAAAACATTATCATAATAATATTTTTTGGTTAAAATGAATGGAAGGCACCCTGGTATGAAGTTGAAAATATCAAAACAGAACTGCACATAAATGGAGCGTCGTATATCATACAAGTTTATATTAGACAAGATGTGAGTTGCCCTAATTTCACGCAGTGCCTAACTCCGCTCATTTTGTAGTATTTTGTGATATATTCTAAATTTATGTTTTCCCATATTGGCGAATAATACATATCTACACAATACAAAATATCCATATTACACAAAATTATCACAACTGCTTGAAACTTTACGGTAATAGCTTAGCTTAGACTGACTGCCCATATCAATGGTTGCTACTCCGTGATTGATCAGTATTAGTGAAATTACACATTGAATCAACTGAATTGGACTGGCAGTGACCATCCATTCTCAATGTACAAGTTTCAGTTAATCCATATTCAATGATCAATAACGGAGCTGGCCAAGTCATTGGGAGTTGGGTGGGAGTAGGGTTGAAATATTATAATGACCTTTGTTGTTTTGGGGACTGTGTTTACCTCCGCTTCCCCAGAAAGGTCACAAGATGGAGATTTTGTTAGTAGGTTAGGTACGATGGATCAGGATTCACCTTGATGGGAGCGTAGTTTTGATACAATGAATTAATTTCCGAAATTGACGCGAATAAGACGTGCGGTCTTTCAATGCCTGGTAGGCAAGCGATACGACCAACCGGTCAGCACTCATAATTATTTCAGTTACCGTGCAGACGTAATTTGTGATTAGCCCTGGTCCCTTTCAAATTGTATCATTATTTGCGTATGGCCCTTATATTTGAAATGACATTTCACATTCATCTAGTGGTGGCCAATTTTCATTCAAATAATCGATTAATCGATTAACGAACCGAAAAGTAAAATATTTGTAATCGGTTATATCATGCCGATATAAACATTAACTTCTTCAGAGGATCTTCGACCATGGTTTCAAACATGTGCTGCACTCTCATTGGTGGAAAAATGACTGCACAGCGAACAAAAAATAATCGATTAATTGTTGATCGAGTAATTAAAAAATGGGACACCTCTGATTTTGATGTCATTGTTTTGATAAAAAAAAGAGCGTAAAATATCATCTCTACTGAGGGGGCAGCAAAACCACAAAATTACCTTGCATACGGGGGGTATTCATTAGATGAAAGGGACCGTGAAAGAGGACACTGAAATCGATAGTTTTTTCTCCTACTGTTTCATCTTAGTATTCTTCTTTGATACGACCCTATCAACTCAACAGCATTGGCGTAGCTAGACAATTTATCTGGAGGGGGGCCTAGATAATTCTGGAGGGGCCTGCCCCCCTGGCACCTCCATTAGCTACGCCAATGCTCAAAAGTAATGTAAAGTAGCCTGGTATGAATCTAACGGTCTTCTACTCTGTAAGCAAACACGGTTGGACCACTCACCGGTTGGTGTTTAATTCACTCGTGTTTAATTCAGTTACCATGGGACGTAATTTGTGATTAATCCCGGTCCCTTTCAAATTATATCATTATTTATGTATGGCCCTTATATTTGAAATGACGTTTCACATTCATCTAGTGATGGCCGATTTTCGATTAATCGATTATCGAACCGAAAAGTAAAATATATGTAATCGGTTATATCAACAATCAATACGAAACTAACGTTTTTAAATTGGCTCACTACTTGACTAGCCTATTGGTCCCAAGCAAATCGACTAACGTACCCCATTCTAGTATAAATTCCAGTACTACACTACACAGAAAAAAATTCTGAATTTTAACTATCGCGTAAAATCTCCCTTCGTTTAATTTTGAGCTATACTTGGCATAAAGAGCGAAATCGTTTTTAAGCTTGCATACAATATTGCTAATCTATGCGATATTGCGCTTTAATTTACACGAAATATCGCGTAAATGTATGCCAAATCTAGCGTTAATTTTATGTGCGCTATATCTCGCAGAAATTTACATGAATTTTTCGAACGGTGTTTGACAGATAAAATGAGAGATTAGTGGATTTTCCTATGTTTCGTTGGGTGAATCGGTAAGCTTGGGACCGAAGATAGTACCAGACCTGAGCCAAAAAGTTGAGCTCGTTTCTTCGGGACCTTCTGGTCTTAGAGTTACTTCTATGGTTATATCATGCCGATATACGCATTAACTTCTCCAGAGGATCATCGACCATGGTTTCAAACATGTGCTGCACTCTCATTGGTGGAAAAATGACTGCACAGCGAACAAAAAATAATCGATTAGTTGTTGATCGAGTAATTGAAAAATGGGACACCTCTGATTTTGATGTCATTGTTTTGATAAAAAAAGAGCGCAAAATATCATCTTTACTGAGGGTAGGGCTACCATATGGTATCCTAAAGGAGGACATATCCTCCTTTTTAAACAATTTCTCTACATCCTCCTTTTGCCCGAAAATGCCCTCCTTTTTAATAATTGCATTTTTTTCCACTAACATATTTATAAAACTTTTTTCAAATAGCGTTGTTTGCAGAGCATATTTGTTTAATTAAATCGCAACCTCATCTTATATAGCAAATGCCATTCGACAGTGGGATCAGGTATATACTACAGCTGTCAACCCCCCTACATTTAGGCTGTGGTTCATTTGGTGAATTTTCACTTCAATTTGCCAGATGTAAAATTTTAAAATAAACCTGCTATTCTACCAGACTTATTTCTGACAGACCAGGGATCAGTTTTGACAAACAATTCTTCGAAATCCGGATGATCAACAACAGAGAGATTTTCTAACATTATAATTTATTTTCGAGTGTCAAATTCAAGTGAAAATTCACCAAATCTCGATTGTAAACAATGCATTTGATTGTCGATCTGGCGTAACTGGTAGCTTGCCCACGCATACTAACACTACCATCAAATAGGGGAAAATTTCCTCTACCTGATAGTGAAGTTAGAGCCTTAAGCAAACCCCACACGCATCAATATATTGACGCGAAGGGGAATTATTGACAATAATATTGATGATGTGAATTCAGAAATATTGTCAATCTCGATATATTGACGTCAATATAGAATGTATTGACAATACGATTATTGTCAATAAAAGTAATCGTGTAGGGTCCACTTTATACCCCGTTCACATTACAGCCTATATCACGTAATATAGGCTGTCTTGCAATGAGCACTCATACATAGGATTTCCAGTGAAAACTAGATGTATGAGTGCTCATTGCAAGACAGCGTATATCACGTGATATACGCTGTCTTGCGATGAGCACTTATACATCTAGTTTTCACTGGAAATCCTATGTATGAGTGCTCATTGCAAGGCAGTCTATATTACGTGATATAGGCTGTAATGTGAACGGGGTATAAAATGTAAGTGAAAATTTACCTCATGGAACACAGCAATCCAACATGTGTTCGATTTTGACGTTCTGTTTCTATGGGATTATAGGTAGGTATTGGTTTAGAGTCCTATGCTGAATCAATGGTAAAAAACAGGTTGCTTAAATGTTCCTTTTCATGTTGGTTTCAATCAGCGATGACATGTATCCTGATTTTTGTACATGATTAAAGTTGGAATGTTTTAAAGCTGTAAAACTGCTATTTCATGCATTTCATGCCTCGGATCGATAGTCGGTTTTTCAAGTGATATCTATACCCTTCTTTGTAAGAAGGGTAAAAAGATCACCCCTTAACTGCAACGCACTCACAACATCAACTTATTATCAGCGTCTGGTAGCGATCTAGATAGAAGCTTCCCGGCACACCCTCTGCACGATACGATCAACACATCTTCCATATCACCATCACTCCCGCCCAGCTCAAACGCTGCAAGATCGAATGTACTTTTCGGTATCTTTTCTACTTCGAACACACCACACTCGTTCAGTCAAAAAAAAACAAGTAAAAAAAAAACAAAAAAAAACACAAAAAAAAAATATGAGAGTAGCACACAATGCACTATTGCAGTTGTAATTCCGGTAAAAAACGTTTGCAAAAAATTAATCAATTAGGTTAAATGGAACTACAGCGCCCTGGGCCCGGAATTAATATAATCCGATCCCGGTTCACAATATTACAACCAAAAAGCTCACTAGAGAACAAAACTAATTTAATCAAATCATCACACGCGAGAACATACAACCGCTCTGCTCGGCTGCCCTCACAGCACCGCTAATAAAATTATATCACCGTTCCACAAAAACAACCGAAAAACTTATAACCCACTCGAGAACAAATTGTATTCGAAAAACTAAATAAATTATATTATTGCGTGCCATGCCCGGTGCTAACACAAAACACAACCGATCAGCTTTTCGTACCAGTTTTTTGCGTAAAATTTTCCGGTAATATACAGCCAAAAATAAATTTTAATATTACATCCAATATCCAATGTCGAAAATCTCATGTAATTTTTATGCCCACAAAAATAAACAAATGCAGTAGAAGCAGCGTAATGTCAGTTCATGTATGTCATTCCCTATATTAATAATTTTGTCCTTTTTGGCAAGTATAATTACACCATATTTTCGACACGATTGAGGTGCATCCACTTTGATGTGATATCGAAATTAATCTTTTGCTGTGTACATATGCAAAAACTGAAGACATAACATTCAAATTTTGGTTCCCGTCATGAATGGGATAATCTTTTATTTTAATTGATTTAAAATTATGCATTAATTCTCCTTTCAGATGATGTCTTCATTTTTCTTCCTGATTAATGGAATATTCTTCATAGCTATGCCAGTTGACTATCCAGCTACCGTTGCAACACGCATTATTGCAGGTGAGTGTGATTTTTTTATATGATATAGTGGCGGTTCTTCTTTTCGTTTCTACACCGAATTGGTAAATGTAAGATTCTATTGCAGATTTGTATAAAAGGTATACAGAATTTGTAATACATCACCGAAATAAAAAAAATGTTATGTAGTCTTCGGAAGGTTTTTTAAATAATGGTGTAAAGTTTATCCACGCAATGAATACCAAAATAACAAAATCGGATCTTTCAGTTTTTTGACAATAATACCTAAAAGAGTTATTGAATTGGTATTAGAAGACCTTCAAAATAACAAATTATGGTATTCTGGCATCTAAAAAGCGTATGTTATACGTTTGTTATTGTAATAACTAAATTATTTATTAGTTCGTTATTCATAGAATATTTTTGAGGTATTATTTTTGGTATTTTACCTCATATGTCAGCCTCACTAATACCATGTTTAGGTTACCAGTAATGATGATGATGATGATGATAATGATGGTCCCACCTCTTACCCCTGCAAAGGTTTGAGCTGGACGATTTATCTATAAGATAATTAAATATGACATTTTAACCAGGTTGGCAAACAAAATCGAACTTTAACCAGGTTGGCAAACAAAATCGAGTTAGTGAACAATCAACAAAGCAAATTACACTAGCAACCCCGCAATCTGATGCTATCATAATTTTCAGCAATGTCAGGAATGCTCACGAACCCCCAACATTTGCCAGAAAACTTACTACTAACTCAACTCTTCCAAATAAATTTCCAAAATTGCTTTTTTTTTATCAAATATTAAATTCAGTCCTCTATATCCGTAATACGCGCGCGAGGCTCAAACCTTTGTACACTACTTTTTGTAAATTAATCTACTATTAAATCAAATATTAAAATTCCATCATCACCATCGTGGCGAACAGAAATAGTTTAATAGTTTTTGCAGTGCTACAATAATTATTAAAAAAAGTCGTTATGATAGCTATCCATATAAAATAATCCGTTATAGATAACTTCGTAAAGATACATAATTTGTCAATTCATAAAAAAATCACTGTATAACTGTTCAAAAGACAGTTTTAACGTGTGAAATGCAATGTCTTTTAAATTCTGTAGGTGTTGCTGAACGTTTGATATGTCTAGGCATCGAATTGAAAACATTTATTCCTTTATAATATAATGAATTTTGTGAAGCACAAACCAAGAAATGTGGTGTTCTTATTTCAACCGCGTTTCTAGTATTATATCTATGAAAGTCACTTCCTCTTTCAATTCGATCACACAAATATCGAGGCAGCAAACCGTTAACTACTTTAAAAATGAACACCATAGTCAAATATACAATTCACCGACAACCATTGTAAGGCGTCTAGCATCAAAGTTGAGGAAGTGAATTTATTACATCTCAAAATCAAACGCATTATTTTATTCTGCAAGCGCTGTAATTTCGATATCTGTGTTGCATTGCCAGAAATAAAATGGAAGGGCAAAAGTCAAGATGAGGAGAGATGATTGATTTGTATAGCTGTATTTTACTGGCAATAGTTAAATCGTTTTTCAGTCGACATAGAATTCCATACTTCTTGGCAATTTTCTTGATGACATTGTCAACGTGAGAGTTGAACTTCAGTGTGTATTCAATTTCAACTGCTTATACTTCAACCATCTACTTAGAGAACGCAAATCTTCATTCAAGTGTAAAACGGCATCATCTAAATCCTTAGCTGCAATGAATAACGCAGTATCATCTGCAAAAAGATTAATGTCGCAAAATCTTAAAACACGTCGCAAGCCATTAATATACATAATAAATAGCAGGGACCCTAATACACTTCCCTGAGGCACTCCAAGGTTATTCCCCACGGGACTGGAAACAGAATCATTAAAAACAGTCCGTTGAGTTCTATCAGACACATAGCTGTCAAACCATTTATATGCAGTACTCGTAATTCCAAAGCGCTTGATTGATCTTAACAATAAGGCCTACAAATTGTTTCTAAAGCGCGTTTAAGATCCAAAAAAACAGCAACAATCGTATCTTTACACTCCAAGTTATTTTTCCACAAGAATGACCTTCTCGATATCCCGATTGTTCTGGTATCAACAAACTATTACTATTTAAATACTCCAACAGCTGGCCTTTAACAACAAGTTCTAATATTTTCTCTAATGTGTGCAACATGTTGATGGGACAAAACTCTTCGGCTTTAATCGTTCCAGCAACTTTTTGAATAGGCACCACTAAGGATTCCTTCCAAATTTGTGGCACATGTCCAGTTTGTAATGATTCATTAATAAGGTCCAGCAAGATGTGGCCAATGACATGAAAGCAATCTTGAATAACTCTAGCATTAACATTATCTACTCCAGCCGATTTTCCTGATGAAAAACAAATAACTCTGAGTTCATCTAATGTAATTGGGTGAAAAATTTCAAATCTACAACTACTATTAACTGGCTGTTTTATTTCGTCAGGTTCATCGACCAATTCAATGGATTGATTAATCAATGAAACACTGTCTACAAAATAATCATTAAACTTAGCTGCAATTACTTGTTCTGACTGTTCTAACGTGCCATTAAAAGTTGTGGACCGCGGTTTGCAATTACTAGGTTTTAATAAAGATTTCATAATTTTCCATAACTCTTTGCTGTTGTTTTGATTCTGATCAATCTTCATTTGAACATATTCACAACGAGTTTTCTTTATCGATTGTGAATACTTATTACGCGCGATTGTGTACCTATTCCAATGATTGTCATTATTTGATCTACAAAACTTTTTGTACCATTTGTCCCTTTTCCGTTTAAGACGCAAAAGATTCAAATTGTACCAGCAGTTATGCTATGTTCATACCTGAATTTAGTATTAATAAGTTATTTTTTCCTGCTCGGGTAGCCATCATGGTTGGGATTGACAAAGACCTTAAATATGTTTGTGGAAAATACATGCGCTTTTAAGGAATACTTTATACTGTAAGCTGATATTACTTACGTTATTATTTTTCTCGATGTTAAAACCGGTTAAAACAGGTTTTTCATTTGGAGTAAGGGTTTAAAAATGCAATAACTCAGAAAAATCAACCAAAAAATGTACTCACGACCGCCGTTCCAAACAAAAGCGTTTTCTTCTATTTGTGCCAAATGAAAAACATAAAGCAACCATAAGCGAAACACGTAAGCGTTGTACAAGTTGCTTACATTTTTTTTCGTAATGTTTTGTACTAGTTTAATATAGTCTCGAATAGTTCATCAACCGTAACCAAATGTAGCTGGAACATACCAGAAACTGTAACAAGTAGTGTTTATTACATTCAGTAAACCATATCAAAACTAGTTTGTATAAAGTTAACATAGCTAGTAAGGTGTCAGTAAAGTTTTAACTGTTCTAGAAATGATTATTTTCTATGCGGGTACTTGACTAGCTTATTGGTCACAAGCAAATCGATTAACGTACCCCATTCTAGTCGAAATTCTAGTTCTACACTATGTTTGTTTTGATTCGCTATGAAAGTTTGAGAGATAAAATGAGGGGTTCGTGGATTTGCAACAGCATATATGCTGACGGCCACATCATTTTCATGCACGAGCATTCAACTTATCAATGAAAAGAAAAGAAAAATTAACTATGTTTCGAGGGGTGCATCAATTAGCTTGGGACCGAAGATAGTACCAGAGCTGAGCCAAAAAGTTGGACACGTTTCTTCGGGACCTTCTGGTCTTAGAGTTACCTCTATGTTAGTACCGTTAAAAGCTCGCAGGCAAGCGTCGAATGGATTGTTGAAACCGTAACCACCAGTCCAATTACTGAATGTTTTGGTGCCTAGCACGCAAGGTTTTCGAGTCAATCAGCATACAGCGTGCAGTGTAATCAAGCAGATTTAACGGGTCATTCCATGGAAGATTACGCAGTGCGAATCGATTGAAAAGTTTCTAAATTATTTCGATGTTGATGATCAGCGAAGCGTGCTAATGTTTTCAGACGGAGGCCGCATATTCCAGGATACTACACAGTTAAAATTATTCTGTAGTTTTACATTAATTATCATCCACATAAAAAGAGCATGCAAATTACTCTAAATTAAATTTACATGCTTTGAAAATTAAAACATGTAAGATTATAGTTCAATTGGGTTCTTCTTTAAGGGGGTATTCCCGATCTTTTTTTTCAAAAAATCAAATTTTTTTTTTCACGTTTTTTTGTACTTTAGACTATATACTTTCATCCCCCCAAGCCGTTTTCCGATCAGCGAATTCGGTGTCCAGGCATAGCTGACTAATGGTAAGAACCCCCAAATGTTTTTAACTAAAGTCAAAACTTTAAACGCGTTTTTCTCGAAACCACATTTTTTTATCGGGCGAAGATTTTTCTCAGAAACTATAGGAGATATTGACTTGAATCTTTGCGCATTTTGTTCCTTATTAAATTCTTTGGAGCTTCTCCCACTTTCAGCCAAAAATATTAACATTTAACATTGTTTGAAGCACCTTAAAGCTGCAAAAAAGCGGGCTAAAAATCGCCTGTTTTTTCATATGGCCGCCATTTTGTTAATTTGCAAGATTTTTTGCTGCCAACGGGAGAAGCTCCAGAGAATCTTATGCAGATTATAATTTCATCACGAAATCTGTTTCAGATGAAGCCGTTCCAGAGAAAAGTCTTCGCCCGTCCAGGCGTTTGCGGCGAACAGGGGTCTGTTTGCCGCCATTTTGTGACGTCAATAATGTCTTTTTTTATGTCGAAAAAAAATTATTTGTAAACTTTAATGTTCAATAAACAAGAATCCCAAAGAGTTAGGCGCATTACTATTCATTTTCCTTGAAAAAAAATTAATTGAAAAACAGGCCGAAAAAAGGCAAAAGATTGGGAATACCCCCTTAAGCGTATTGAGGTAAATGCATAATCGTGACCTGCATTAAAAATGGAACCCAAACCCAAAATTCATCAATTTTGGTACACTGGAACTATTTTAAATAAGCGCGATTACATTTGCAAAAATCACCTTATAAGCACCCCTCTGTGTCACTTTGTATGGGAGCGAGCTGTCAGTTTGTTAGTTTAGTGTCAAACAGTGAAGTTATTATTTTGCTTTAAATCTTGATTTAAAAATCGAGATGGAAGTATGTGGGTTCGAAAAAAATATCGCTGTGCTCAGAAAACAAAGCTCTTTCAGATGATGTATAAAAAACGATACATTTTTCAAAATTAAAGAACCCAATTGGGTTGTTAAGTAAATACATATTCGTTATCTGCATGAAAAATGGAATCGAAATCCAAAATTTCATCAATTTTGGTACACTGGAACTGTTTTAAATAACCAACCCGGACAAGGTCAACACGGAGGTCTACATCGGGATTTTAAATAAGTATGTTCTTCCGCGGATCAATGAAAAGTACGGTCCGAAGCCAAATGTTGTATTTCAACAAGATGGGGCTCCGTGCCACATCTCGAACCGCACTCAGAAGTGGTTGCAGGAACATCTTCCGTTCTGGTCGAAGGATTTGTGGCCGCCGATCTTAATCCGCTGGATTACTCAATATGGCGCGTCATGAAGGCCAAGGCCTGTTCTAAACGCCACCCGAGTACAGCAAGCCTCAGACAAATATTGACCCGTACCTGGAGAGAAATGTATCCAGACTCATTATTAAAACCTGCCGTGCATTCCGGAATCGTATGGAGTCCGTAATTGCAGCAAGTGGAAACTCGATCGATGATTAACATAGTTTAAGATTCTGAGAAACATCCCCCTCTTGAATAAATAAAAAAACTCGAAAACGAAATTTTTGAGAATTTTTTTAATTTTGACATTGCTTAATGGTGCAAACATTATCACGCATACGGTATAGGACCAACGTAACAATATTGCTGTAGCTATTTTGTAATAATTTTGTGTTTTATTGTACCACGTTACACTATATAGCATTACATTACATCTTTCAAAATAACGCTAGTTCTAAACACGGTAACACACATTTCAGGTCATTCAAGACTTAATGGGACTTGCTGCATCTTTATTGGCATCTAAGTCTAGGTCTTGGAAACCCCATCACATATTTGCATTTTAAACAATTTAATTTATTGTAGCGCATTCTGTAACGACGTCCAAAAAAAGCAGGAAGCAGCAATACATTCATCATTGACATACAAATGTATTTTTATTACTTAATATTACAGTGCTTTCCCATTTTTGGCAACATGACCTCATCAGTTATTTTTATCTCCAGTTGTGTAGTAAGGCTTTTTGAATAAATGTTAACACATTACCAGCCTTCTCTGATCCCTAAATAAAGATTAATTAATGTCGTAAATTGAAATAAGTGTTCGACGAATTTTATAAAAAGTGAAGAAATAAAAAAATTCGTGTTGCCATAAACGGGAAGGCACTTTATAATGTATTTGTATATTTCATATATACTAAACATACTACATTACATTTATTAAATACTGCGTTGCGAGAAAGCATCAGGGTAGCATTCAAGCTGGAACTAGACGATGGAGTGGTGTGACAACCGGAGTTTGGAGGGATGAACACTCTCATTTTTATTATCCTACGTATTCGATTGTGATGGTATGAATTCTACTCCAAGAATTTCAGTGAGACTGACGTGCCCTTCTTAACAAACCATCCCATGGGAATCTTAATAAGTATTGCGAACTATGTTATTCGATTTGTTGGATCGTATCGTTGAAAGGAGATTCCCACCTTTCCGTCGCGTAAGTGTCTCTGTTTACGGGTTCGCCCCTCCGCTTTTGGTGAATTCAGATCGTGGGCTATCGATTTGAATTGCTATTGAGTGAAGCCGCATACAAGACAAGATCTTCGAAGATATACGTACATACATACATTATAATTGACATACTTTTAAGTTTTTAACTTTTGAACTTTGGAAATGTATTTGTATGTTTGTATAATCTCGTTAAATTTATGACATCTAATTAATGTAAAAATATCATGTAATTCAATGATCACGAATTAGCGCGTTGGGTGCTGTGGTCCACCCACCGGTATTTCTCGACTAACCTCCAACCAATTCTAGCTGATTTTCTATAGTTTACTAGTATATGGTTGACACAAATCCAGGGGGCTAATACTGAACCACATTTTGAAACCTTCATGTTGATGGAATATCGAAGCAACTTGTTAATTTTTCTATTGAATCAGAATAAGCCTCTGTACCAAAACTTCTAATCCCATAGGTACCGGAACGTTAAAAACGAAGACATGTTGGATTCAAACTGAATGTAGGGAGTTTGACAGCTGTAGAATACCCCTGCACTAATCTTACACCCTTATCAGCTCAACAAGACAGCTGTAAAATAGCGGTGGGTGGACCACACTACCTACCGCTCTATTCGGGGGATTCCTGTACTAAGAAAAGATATGAGCGATTCTCGCTGAAACCTGCCGACTAGGTTTTCGAGGTTCTAAAATATTGCATGATTCAAATTAATATATCTCTAAAAATTCTTCCATAAAATGCTAATGTTGGCATACCATTAAAAAGGGAAACTTCAGGGCTTGAATGGCATGTTTTGGATTTTTGGCGCCATATTGGGGTTTTTGGAACACATTAGTTTTTCATAAGCTTATTTTCCATCAATTTATATACTAAGCACGCTTTTTGAAAGTTGAGATTTTTTTCCTATAAGATACACATCAAATTATGATGGAGAAATATGTTCATCGTATGGAACTAGAAGAAAAATAAAGAAGAGGTCATTTGACCCCATACATTTTTTTCTGTTTCCTTGAGCTGAGAGGTTAGCTTATAAAAACTTAATTTTTTCGTTAAAATTCAATATGCAATCATGAAGTTTTTTGCCAGAATTTTTTAGATATATCGTTTTAAATTTCCTGAAAAAGATTTTTTTTTTCCTATAACATGGTCTCAGACGACATTTCGATTGGAAGTGATGATTTCGAGTTATCGAGTTCGAGTTAAAGAATATTGAATACGCCAAATTGTTTTTTTACAAGATGCAAAATGACTATAACAAACAATTATGCAAATTTTCATGCAAATCAGAGAAGATCGAGTAAGAAATTCAATGTTTTTTGTTGCAATTTTGCCTGGAATTAATCCGTACTTATTTACCATTCTTAACATACTTTCAGGTTTTGGCCATGGAATTGCACATCTCGTTATGTCAATATACATCGGAGAAATGGCTTCGAAACATTTGAGAGGAAAATTAATCACATTTCTCACAGCATCTATAGTAGCAGGCATAGCAGGTAATATACATAACAACCATTATTGATCAGTTGAACCTAATAATTATTTTTACTTTATGTTTCTAGTATTTACTGTTATATCCATGGTTACAACAAATATGGTGTACATAATTGAACCTGAGATGCATCCAAACAGAGCATTAGGGATCATTATATTACCAATAAGCTTAGCAGCATTTATATTGGCCTTTTTCCTCACAATTGAATCACCTATTTACACGCTGTTAATTACCAAGGACGAAACAACTGCACAAAAGGATCTGTTGAAGTTAAGAGGTCAAGCGTTGGAAACAACTGATACTACTCAAGAATTTAATGACATGAAATTACTGGTAGCAGAAAGTAATATGCTTTCAAAAATATTCGTTACTGAAGGCAACTTCAAACCGTTCCAGTTGGTATTAACATTGAAACTTGCCAACTTATTGTTTTTCGGCTATTCGATGAATATGGCGAAAATGGTTTTCATGTCGCAAATGTTCACTTTAACCATCACGAGTCACAATTGGGCACCTCCGATTCAAATGCTCAGCAAAATGGTAGCTGCTTTGGTTGCAATTTTCATAATCGACATTCTACCTCGTCGATTCCAGTATGCCATTTCGTCAACGGTTACTGGAGCGTTCCTTCTAGCGTTTGGTATAGTGCTTGCAACTCACGATATTCTCGAACCGTGGATTGCTCCTTTTCTATACATTACCGCCGAAGTTTTCAACGCGTTTGGAATGCTTCCGGTTTCTGAAATATTGCTTTCTGAAGCCTTCCCCCCGAAAAAGAAGGTTCTTTCGGTAGCTTCGGTTCTTATTTGTGAATATGTGGGACATATGGTGGTTTACATCATATATTTCAACGTACCAAGCAATCTTCAGAGTACATACATAAAAACGATTGTTTTTGGAAGTGTCATATTACTGAAGTGCTTAATCGGTGTTTTAGTCATACCTGATACACGGAACAGCACGCCTCGCGAAGCAGTTCAATTACTATCAAAACATTGAATGATTTATAACTATCAAGGGCCTGATTTCAATTATTTTAAGTTTATGAATGTATTCAAACAATATAATTTCAGAACTTCTGGTCTGTCGGACATTAAATAAAAATGGAAAACAAAAATAACTGCTGGTTTTAGAATGTGTGTTCAAATCAATGATTAATAATGCAATCTAAAAAAGAGGACGACAGAAAGGGGGTTTTAAGTTGTTTATGTTTTCGATATTTTTACATTCCAATACACCAAAACATATAAATAAAAAGATCAAATGCGTTTGTACTACAGTCTTATCCAAATAGAATAAAAAGAATGTCCATATCTGACTACTGCTAGTAAATTAAAAAAAATACGCCTTTTTTAACTTTACTTGAAAAACTTTGATGGGTGAATTCTGATGAATGTGGGTGTCTGTTAATATAATAAAATTCCTGTACACTCAAGTTATTTTAACACGTTTTTTTTGCATTGTGTTTTTTACACGGTTGGGGCCGCAATTCACACTGTATGAGTTTAACAATTTTTAGATGATTATACAACCTATCGACTTGATTGAAATCCCATTATCCGTTTCAAGCCAGAGGTAATCGAATGGCATACTTTAAAAAAAATCTCAATATTTTAAATTACGGATGTCATCAAAAATCTTTTCTTTTGTATATTTTGCATGTGTAAAATCAAAATCTTGGTAGTCTTTTTCACATTTTTTTTTGACACGGTGCACACCCCGTGTAAAAGAAGACCTGAGTATATAAAGAAAGAGAGAAGGTTTATTGGAAGTTGCAGAGGGCCTCGAGATAAAAAAAAACCAACGGTTTTAAACTTTACTCAACAGTTATCAAGCAAACAGACACACATGGCTTTTCCAGTTACTACGTAGGACACATCAACCGGAAGGCAAGACAATTTGTTTGGGTGGAGAGATATGTTGCGAATATGGTGAATGGTGGTACACCGCCTACAGGTGGGAATCGAACCCACACTCTCAGTACGCTAGACGGGCGCTCTACCCTATTAAGCTTACGTAGTGGTGATGAGATAGATACGGTCTTGTATGCGGGATATGATTCACCATTCTCGCATCACATTCATAAACACAGACACTCTTTGTTGCCTACTGGTATCAGAGTGAGAGAGTTTTCTGACTGACTATTGTCACTTCACTCTCAAGGTGACAGCGGCCGACCTATCCCAAGTAACAATTTTGGTTTTATGAGGGTTCTGTAGACCATGATTTGGACTTTTAGCATGCTTTAAAACCACTATAAAACTTGCAATGTTACTTGGGATGTTAAATATGCAGACCGCATATCAAGTTGTATTTACCGGATGAAAATCCCACAAGGCGAGTCCAAATATAAATCTTCCTATAAAGAAGAAATCGAGACAGCTTGACAGCGAAATTAAATTGGTTGAAACCCCTATTTCAAAGCAGCATAATGTCTCATAACATCGAAAGATTTCCGCAAAGCTCACGGTAAGAGAGCACACAAACCTTAAACGACGCTACATGTCAAGTTGTCATCATCAGCAGTTTGTTTATTTATGCATTGCAGAAATTATTTCAGTATTTTAGAAAATCTTTATTTCGCATCATTTAGTGCATTTTGGTATTAATAAAGTAAAGCAAGCTCTCGGGTGAAAATTGTTTCATTTCGTATATTTGTTTTAATCTATCCATAGTTTTTCTCCTCTAAATCATAGTCATTTGATGCTATATCAAAAAAAATGTGATTGTCTAACGGCTCTATAGTCACTTTATTCATAGTCTGCCGGATACAAATCCCTGAAAACTCGCAACTTTGATTATTTGCGATAGAAATCACCCCGTGAAAATGCTCATGTTTTGCAGGACGTTTTTGTTGCAACATGAATATTTTTATCTTCGCAGTAGCAATAACAGTTATCCGGATGGAATAGGAGAAAATATTTGCAAAGATTATCGATCAGCTTGCCTTTTTAACGCACACTTGCAATGTAACGTAGTTACAGATATCCGATATTACCTTTAAAAATATCTAATTGGAAAACAACCTTCCCTTGTATGCAAGAGTCAGCGTTCTTATCTCTACGAAACGCCAAAGGTTCTATCAGCGATTTTTGATTTCCGATAAAAGGGTTCGTCCATAAATGACTATTCTCGCAATTTAAAACACGAAAGCTACCGGGTTCGACAGTAAGCGCTCAACTTCCGAGCCGATCAGTCGATGTTTTCGGACGAGCATTTTTTGGAAGTCGTTCACAGACTATTTTGTACGTTTTTGTCGGTTATTTTCCACCGTCGTACCAAGTATCGCGTTCGCCTCTGCCGCGACGTCACATCTCGCGATGCCGCGCCGCGAAAATACGTTTCGCGTCGACTATTCGCAGTTTCCGAAGCATCTTTCCCATGACGAGATCCACAAGTTCGTCGCGAAAGAACTTGGTCTAACGCGCGAAAATGTGCTTCAACTCCAGCCAAGCAGGCGGCTTGGATGTACCTTCGTGAAGGTTAACAACCTCGAACTTGCCGAGAAGATCGTGGAGCAACACGATGGTAAGCACGAGTTCGTGTTTGACGGAAAGTCCTACAAACTACGAATTACGATGGAGGATGGAGCGGTGGAGGTGAAGTTTTTTGAGCTACCCGAAGGCGTCTCCAACGAAGAAATCGCAGTTTTCCTCGCCGAATACGGTGATGTCATCTACGTTCGTGACTTACTATGGGATAACCGTTACAATGACTTCGGTGGTGTTAAAACCGGTGTTCGTGTCGCGCGTGTAGTGGTAACGAAGAACATTCCTTCTCTCGTTACGATTCAAGGCGAGGAAACTGCGGTGGCTTACAAGGGGCAGCGGCAAACCTGTTTGCACTGCCATGAATTTGCACACATTGGCATCCCATGTGTACAAAACAAAAAACTGCTGGTGCAGAAGCTTGTGGCAGATCAATCGTACGCGAATGTTACGAAAGGGAAAGCAAACAATCCCGAACCAATCAAAACTCCGTCAAACAAATCTCGGGTAGATCCACGAAAAACATCATCGGGTTTGAATACAGCACACAGTTTGTTTGTGACCAGAAAACCAGGTACTTCGGGACTGGCCCCAAATCTCCTTGAAGCAAGCGAGACACGAGCTGCAACAACACAACCGAAAACCACGATGCCGCCTCCCGCTGCACCTGCTACAACAAAACCCTCCGCAATGCAAGCTGTCATCCAACTCTCGCCGGCTTCTATCCCGATCGGCACCATCCTATCCCATCGCAAGACTGATGGCAACGAAGCGGACAGCTCACAAGCTTCACAAGCCTCGAACAGCAGCCGACGTTCGCGTATACAACCACCAGGCAAGAAAATGCGACACTCCGGAGAAGACACCACCACCACCACCACCACCGAACACGAATACGTCCAAATTACCGCTGAAGATATGCAACAATGATGGAGTACGTCAGCTGCAATATCGGAACCATCAACATCAACACAATCACCAACCAAACCAAGCTAAACGCCCTTCGCACGTTCGTTCGCACGATGGAGCTCGACATCGTGTTCCTACAGGAGGTGGAAAACGAACAGCTCCCAACAAACAATTTTAGCTGCAATTCAGCTTATACAGCCAAAAACTACCTGCCTAAGGCAAATTTTGGCTGTATAAGCTAGTCTGCAGCTAAAATTGTTAGTTGGGCTTACCTTGCCCGGCTACAACGTTGTCTGCAACGTCGACCATGCAAGGAGAGGAACGGCAATTGCGCTTAAACAACACATCAAATTTTCCCACGTAGAGAAGAGTCTGGACGGGAGATTACTCGCACTGCGTGTACACAATACTACGCTGTGCAATGTGTATGCCCCGTCGGGATCCGTCTATCGCGCCGAACGAGAACGGTTTTTCAATATCATCATCGCATACTACCTTCGTCATCGCACCGACCACATTGTCTTCGGTGGTGACTTCAATTGTGTGATTCGACAATGTGATGCGACGGGGCACAATTCGAGCCCTGCTCTACAAGCCACCGTTCAGCAGCTTCATCTATACGACGTGTGGCAACAGCTTCGGCCACGCGAAACAGAATACACCTACATCACGCACAACTCCTCGTCCAGGCTCGATCGGCTCTATGTAAGCGCCGGTCTCCGAGAACAGCTGAGATCAACAGCTGTCCATGTGTGCTGTTTCTCGGATCACAAAGCCGTCACCCTTGAGAATCTGCCTTCCTCTTCCCGAGAGAGCACATGGTCGTGGTTTCTGGTCCCTCCGTCCCCACCTCCTGACCACAGAAAATATCGACGAGTTCCAAATACGGTGGCAATATTGGACTCGTCAACGCCGAAATTATCAATCATGGATGGAATGGTGGTTGTCGTGCGCAAAGCCCAAAATACAATCCTTCTTCCGTTGGAAATCTAAAATCGCTTTCGACGATTTCAATCGGGAACAGCAACGCCTCTACGAGCTACTACGGCAAGCGTACGACGGCTACCAACACAACCGTGCCATGCTCACCACCATCAATCGGACAAAAGCCGAAATGCTCTCACATCAACGACGCTTTTCCGAGATGTTCGTGCGAATCAACGAAACCCACGTTGCTGGTGAGCCTTTGTCGACCTACCAGCTGGGGAACGAAGGCGCCGCAGAACCACCATCGAGCAACTGCGAAACGAGAGAGATGAGATCATCGGTGATTCTGCTGCAATACAGGATCATATGGTTCAATTCTTCACCGAACTATACGCACAAGGTCATGTGGACGAAGAAGCAGAAGACGGTCCCTTTCGTTGTGAGAGAGTCATCCCTGAGCAGGATGATGTAAACGCAGCCTGCATGAGCGAAATAACAACAGTCGAAATTCTTTCCGCCATCCGAACAAGTGCATCGAAAAAGTCACCGGGTCCCGATGGCTTGCCGAAAGAATTCTATCTTCGAACTTTCAATGTGATCCACCGTGAACTAAACTTGATAATGAATGATGCAATCAGGTCAAACTTCCCAACTCAGTTCGTCGATGGGGTGATTGTTTTGGTGAAGAAACGCGGTACTGGGGAAAACGCACGTTCATATAGACCAATAAGTCTGGTCAATGTGGACTATAAAATTCTCTGTCGTATCCTGAAACAGCGTCTCGAAAATGTGCTCCGAGCCCATGGTGTGTTGTCAGGCTCGCAAAAATGTTCTAACACTGGACGAAATATCTTCCAAGCTACGCTAGCAGTGAAAGATAGAATAGCACAGTTGAAAGCGAACAAACAGAAGGGCAAACTGATTTCATTCGATCTGGACCATGCATTTGATCGTGTGGACCAGAGGTTTTTGTTCAATACGATGCGAGCGTTGGGTTTCAACACGACACTTGTTGACTTACTTTCCGGTATAGCAGCAGCTTCTTCATCTCGTCTGCTTATCAATGGGCACCTCTTTGCACCATTTCCGATCCAACGTTCGGTTCGCCAAGGAGACCCTCTCTCAATGCATCTTTTTGTTCTCTATCTACACCCACTTTTACGGCGGTTAGAACAAGTGTGTGGAGCAGATCTAATCGTCGCTTACGCAGATGATATCAGTGCCATCGTCACCAGCGTCGGTAAACTCGACGCGATGAAAGATTTGTTCAGGCGATTTGAGCAAGTAGCAGGAGCACGGTTGAATGAAGATAAAACAACGGCAATCGACGTTGGCCTCATTAACAGCCCTTTGACGGTACTGTGGCTTCGAACAGAAAATAGCATCAAAATTCTTGGAGTGATCTTCGCCAACTCGGTGCGATTGATGGTCACACTAAACTGGGACAAGCTCGTGACTAACTTTGCCCGGCAAGTGTGGCTAAACTCACTGCGCAGCTTGGCTTTGCATCAAAAGGTAACGCTGCTCAACACCTTCTTATCATCAAAAATATGGTATATAGCTGCAAATCTTCGCCCAAAAGCAGTCCACGTGGCGAAACTGACAGCCACAATGCGGAATTACCTTTTCCGTGGAGCATGTGCGACCATTCCGATGCAGCAGCTAGCACGCAGTAGAGAAAACGGCGGGCTTAATCTGCATCTACCAGCGATGAAGTGTAAGGCGCTGTTAATAAACCGCCACTTACACGAGATCAAATCCCTTCCTTACTATAGCTCCTACCTAACCCAGATAAATCCTCCTCAAGCAAATTCCATTTCAGACCTTCCATGCTTAAAGCTAATCCTTAATAATGTCCAAAATTTCCCCTTCCAAATCCAACAACACCCTTCCGCCGATCTCATCCATAGATTCTTCATAGATCGTACAGACAGACCAAAAGTGGAAACAACAAACCCTACAATCAACTGGACCCGTGTATGGAAGAATATAGCCGTGCGTGATTTATTACCTTTGCAGCGCAGTGTGTTGTACTTTTGGGTTAACCAAAAAATCTCGCATCGTCGGCTGATGAATATAATGAGGCGAACGGATGGAGAACAATGTACTTTTTGTAATGTGATGGTTGAAACAATTCAACACAAGTTTTTCGGCTGCCCTAGAGTACAGGCTGCATACGATCTACTTCAACAAAAGCTGCTGGTGGTGACTGGCAGTCGACGCTCTCTCCATCTCGATAATCTCCTCTGGCCCTCACTGGAGAGACTGCCAGTGAATAAAAGAACACTGATACTGAAGATTCTTTTTATTTATATCACCTTCATTGATAATTGTAATGATAGGATAGATATTGATGCACTGAAATTTAATTTTGAAGTCGAGGTTTAAATAATTATGTAAGTAATTTTAATGAAACAATCAACAACAAATAAACGTACTTTTACGAAAAAAAAAAAAAAAAAAAAATCTCTACGAAACGCCAAAGGGGTTCTATCAGCGATTTTTGATTTCCGATAAAAGGGTTCGTCCATAAATGACTCTTCTCGCAATTTAAAACACGAAAGCTACCGAATGAGTGGTCGTCGGGTTCGTTCTTGGGGTTAAAGCATACCCTCATCTGCATGAGCCGTTCTTTATTAGTTTGATCAGCAAACAGTTAATACGCTATTTTAAAGTGCTAGTGAGGAATAAATAGTCAGTAATAACAATTAAAGTTAATGGTATAAAAAAAAGTGCCAGTAGGTGGAGTAGTTCAGTGGTGCAGACAGAAGGTGATACCTCTGAAAAGTAAGCGCCATTGTTCAGTTGTGCGAACAATCACCCAGCCAACTATTGTTTCCTCGACTAGTCAGAATTACGTCAAGACTGAGTGTCAGTTGGTATTGTGAAGAACAATAAAAATTATAAAGCTACACTTTTGAAACCAGAGGTAATTATAACTGGTCTGCGACAATATATTGCAGAACCTAATTTCGTTTGAAATTCGTTCGAAGAACTCCTTCGAACGAAGGTGCCACCCCTAGGTTAAACCTTCCACGGGACACGTCGAAGTGACACCCACATACGACAGCAGGATACATTCCCGAAACATACCGTTTTGGCCGTGTGCAACATCCGACGAAACGGGGCGACAAGTGTGCGACGTCTGCATGAGTTGTGTGACACGTGTGCGCCAAGTGGTGGAAGCGATACCAAGTGACGAACCACCGAGCGAACTAGCCGACTGTTCACTGTCTCCGCAGTAGGGCCCTCGTTCGTCTCTAGAGTGCTACCACTAGCGAATCAAACACGTGTTAGGTGAACCACCGCGCCACCCCACAAGCAAGTTCACAGGTTTTTTTGCTGACAACCATATAATGTTATATTTTTCTCATATGCAAATGCATTAAATAAATAACTTTTGTGAACCAACATACTGGTTCAAGCTTCAAATTTTAAAGATATTGTTGAAAAACCGAAAAAAACTACAATTTTTGAACTTTAATATCTCCGAAAGCGCAAAAAATCGCAACCTGACATTTTCAGCAAAAATTTAACAATACTCGATAAACAAAATATCAAAATTTGAGAGAGGTATATTTTGGTGTTTTTGAGATTTCATCATTTTAGTGGAGCACGTTTTATTTCTATATCTTTTTTTTTAATGCATTGAAATGGCGTTTTGAAGACTTGACATCTTCACCAAAGTTGTTTATCTTGATAAAATAAACAACTCTTCTGAAGAATTCAAAACTCCACAGCCTACTATTTTCGAGTTATAGTAGAGTAGAAGAGTTTTGAACTATTTGTTTCACCATTATGTACCACATGGGAGCTGTTAAGTTATTAGAGGGCTGGGAAAAACAGACGAAAAGGAACATTTCGAAATATTGATGAATTACATTATATTATAACCTAGAGACATAAATAATTTATTCTATCTAATGTAATAAACAACTCACGAATAATTTACTTTTACTGGATTAAACCGACCTACATATAGAATAAGCTGTGACGGGTTGTGCCTTATAATATAAAGGAAAGGTTTGTCTAATTTTAAAACATTTTCATTATAGATCATCGCATCATGATCTTTAGCGCTCTGAGTGCTTTCTATATATTTACTCAAATTACTTTTCAAATCCATCAATGACGGATACCTATCACTTAATCTTTGTTTACGATCTGCATTACAAAGACTGACTCGATTTATCAACAATACTTCAGAAAGGTGAATTGGTGCAGCCGTAGTTTCTTGAATTCCTCTCAAATTTGATGACTCGCTATTGAAAAGTTCACCTAATCCTAATTGATGTAGTTGGTCCGAAATATTGACAAATGACTGCTGATTGAGATGTGGAATAAGGAGGATACTACTAAGGTGAGGTTTCAGTTTCGTTTCCAGTAGTTTAATTTTTGATGGGAAATTATGAGTAAATATATCGTTTTCTAAACTGAGAAGACTATTTTTTTCTAACACTCCACCTTGCTGTCCTGGCATCAGTAATATAGTTGATATATCTCGTGATTCAGAGAAAATAGATGTAACAGTAACATCCATTTCTGTATTATAACCGAATAAAAAGCTCCCTGAATAGGCTGCAGCAGCTAACTCAATAAGCTTACGTTTACCTTGCGCGTCAATAATGTGAAAGAAAATTTCGGAGCCATCATCCGTAGTGGGACATTTGAGCTGTGAATTAAAAAGTAAAAAAAAAACTGCATTAACAATAACATTTACTATACAGGATTACAGGATTAGTCGCAATTACATAAAAAGGAAAAGTATAGATTAACTGATGAATTACGGAATTGAAGAGAAACTATAAAAGAAAATTTTATTTATAAAATTATTGTTAATTCAAACAACCCACGTAACCATCAAGACCACATAAAGTGTAATGCACAATGCAACACAAGTGCAATTATAATGCTGTTATAAGGTTGATATAAAAATGTAAAGCAGTATTTACTCCTTATATTTCAAAGAGGACTATTAAAGGGCTTGGTGGTTAGTTGCAAGGTTGCAAATACTCATTTCAGCTAAAACAATGTTTTTTTTTAATTATGAAATAATTAGATAATATGATCATATTTAGAATTGGTAGGATACAAGAAGAGGTTACAAAGAATGTGTTTGACATATTAAACCTATTTATTTCCCTTCCTGAGAGTCATAATCAGCGATTTTTCACACGCTCACTCACTCACTCAGCGATCAGCAAATCGCTGATTGTGACTCATAGAAAGCAAAATTTACAGGTTTTATGTTTCAAACGCATACTTTGTAACCTCTTCTTGTAAGTTACAAGTAAAACATGCCATCATACCATCTTTTGATATTATTATTCCCAAAAACATTATTTTAGCTGAAATGAGTATTTGCAACCTTAGTTAGTTAGGAAGAAAACTCAAAAGTTTTGGAAATTTTGGATATTTTTCGTTTAAGACTGAATGATTGATTGGTTGAGAAAATATTGCTAAGACTTGTTCTGCTTTTCTTTTATGTCTCAGATTCAGTTTTATTATGATTTAGAGGTGTATCAAATAAAATCTTAATTAATCGCGAAATATTCATGTGATATTCGTTGTAGGTAATTTTGCCTATTTTGTTGCTGTTATTGCCATTTACGCTAAATTTATGAACTTTTAATTATTTTTTCAGCAGAGATGAACTAGCCTATGGCTAAAAATCTCTTAAATAAAGATTTAAAAAAAATATTTTTTCAGCAATTTGAACAATATTTGAAATTTTATTAGTGTAGACTATCGCATAGAAATACTGTGTGTAGACCACCATACAAGCGCATGAAATACTATTTTCAGTGTACCGTGTAGACCCGTTAATTTGGATGATCCTTCATGCATATTAATGGAGCTCATTTTTAATTTGAACTTCTAGTAACCCTATTTTTGAGGTTGTTTCTCCGGACCAGTTGACCCGATTCCGAAAATATTCAATACCCAACTAACATTATTCACAATTTAAACGCTTTACTCATTTCATTTATACAGCCTCAAGCTGTTTTCAAACATTATACGATATAAGGCTACCTTTACTCAACCTCTATACAAGCAAATCTGGCGAGCTTAGTTAGCTACTTATGGCCTTTGGGACCGTTGGGACAAGTTCTTATTGCATATCCATCTACGCTTCTATACAGCTGTTAATCTGCTATTTAGTTGCGTGTGAACTTGAAAGGCGCTTATTCAACCTTTTCCCGATTATCCATTAATCACTACACAAGCTTTCTCTTGATGTTTGATTAAATATTGCTTACGCTTTTTTTGTTGGAGGAATTTATTGAGTTTATTGTGCTGTGAGAATAAAAATTAATCGGAATTAGTTAT